ACACACACACACACACACACACACACACACACACACACACACACACACACACACAATGAGCTTTCAAGGCCAGTCTGCATTTGCATGAGACCGCGTTTCAACAAAACAAAACAAGAAAACGAGCCTCCGGGTTTAGGGAAGCGAACTCACTAAAGGGGATTAGCTTCTGGGTTTCAGGGCACTGGATGAGTCCTCTGGTTTATCAAAGCCTGTAAGGCTGGGAAGATGCTGACGAGATTGGACCAAAGGCTTTAAAAGTTTTAATTTCTGAAAAGCTTAAAGAAAAAAAGATAACTTGTACAGAGTGCAAAATCTCAACAGAATGGTCTGAGAGGTAGGTCCTGTGCTCACCCAACCCCTGGGGAGGCTAGTCTATCCGGGCGTTTCCACTCCGCTAGGAAGGGCACCCGTGGGTGGAATCCGGAAAGTGAATCAGCAGCTGGCAGAGCCCGGCAAGGCAGGGCAGATCCACCGCCCCGGGCCCGGGAGGACCCAGAGGGGAGCAAGCGGGCTGTGAGTACCCACAGCGGAGCGGAGCAGAGAAAAACAGACTCTCGACAGGGAGCCTCCTGGGCCAAATCGACTCCGGGGACGGTGTACCCCGAGCGGGGTCACCCGGAGTGGAGCAGACTCCAGGCGGCGTGGCTCCAGAGTGGAGCAGACACAGGGCGGGGCGCACTCCGGGCGCAGCAGCTCGGGGCGTGGTCAGGGCGGGGCTGGCGGCGGGAAGACGGAAGAACTCTTTGGACCACCAGCCCCTAGTTCTCACTTGTAAGATCGATCCCGCAGCTACCTGGCCTGGCAGGCCCGGGACTACAGAATGGAGGCCGGGCTGCTGTGGTTCTGCAACTGGAGCACGCTGGGCGTGTGCGCCGCTCTCAAGCTGCCGCAGATCTACGCGCAGCTGGCGGCACGCAGCGCGCGGGGCATCAGCCTCCCTAGTTTACTTTTGGAGCTGGCGGGGTAAGGCCCCGGGAGACCTGCGAGGAATTGGGAGTCCGGGAGGCCAAGGGTTAACTTGGGGGGCGCGGGGCTAGGAGGTGCTTCTCCGGGCGCTCCTACCCACCTCCCCTGCTCCTTCCTAAGTGCCGGGAAATACGAGTTGCTTATAACTCCATATTATATATTCAGCAGAGTCAGCACCGCCTCTTCCCCCGCCCCGAGGCCCCCTCCCCCCCATCCTTTTAGCCACATCGTTCTGGCCGCGGGCAAAGCTATTTGCACCTGCAGTCCCATATCGTCCCTAACTTCACCTGGCACCACCCAGATTATTATTATTTTTTTTTTCTTGCCTAGAGTCCCCCGCCTGTAAACGGGTTGGGCTGAGATCTGAGTTACAAGATTTGAAGATTCCATGTGGGAAGGAGGGGGAACTCGGGTCGACGTTTGAAAGTTGGGCTGGGGTCTAACACGCAGGGATGGGCAGCGACTACTGCAGGAGCCAAGTTCTTTGTGGTCCAGGCTAAGTACTTAAGAGTAAGGGACAAGTTGTTCTAACTTTGGTTGGGAAAAACTAACGGAAAACACGAGTCCCACGATCTTGCACCAGTCAGAGCCCTCCTCCGTTTGACACCAGCTCCCACCCGCTGTCACCCACTGATCTTGGAGGGGCGCGCCCATCTGATGGGGGTGGGCTCTGGTCGGTTGGTTGCGTGGTACAATCATGTGCATTTTAGAGTGGAAGGGAGAGACAGGCAGGGTGAGGAGTAGGGCACGAGTCAGAGTGAAGGATGCAGAAGTGGCCGTCTGGCTGGGGCAGCGGATGCGGGTGTGTGAAGTCAGGAATGCTGTTTGGGCTCTGGCTTGCTAAATTCTCCACCGGCATCCGAAAACTGAGGCTTCAGGGTGCAGACTGCATAGAAAGTTCACGGGACGCCTACGGAGCGCCAACCCACATCCGCATGCTGTAGCTCGTTCAATCAGGAACCGTCTTAAATCCCCAGCGGAGAACAGCTCTGGCCATAGAAGGTTCCCTGGGATCCGGAAGGGTTTTGCAGTCCGCAGAACAGATAAAGTAGGTTCTTTCGCTCTTTCTGTAACTCCTAATGGCCTCCCTCCCTCCCTTCGAGGCAGTGGGCGGGTAGTGCAGCCGACCTCTGTAATTAGGTCTAGCAGCTCTCAGGCCAGAAGGCATGAGTTCATTCTCCACCACTGAAATCCAATAGTTTTTTTTATCCCTACGACGCTCAGTTCGTGAGAACTTTCTGAAGGTCCCCCTGGGGCCCTACACGAGTTGTTTTTTACATACTCACTGCAGCTTTAGGTCAGAGTGGTTTTAATCCTGAGGTAGGGACAATAGGAATGGGAGGAGGAACCCAGCCAAACCCAGCCAGTCTACTTCTGGCTCCTCCCGCTCCCTTCCCCCCCTTCTTCCTGCATGGGCAGGGTGGTCACTACAATTCTGCTTCCCTTCTCTGCCTTGCTTGCTTGCCTGCCTGACCCTTACCGGCCAGATAGGCTCTGAGGCATCAGGAAGAAGCTGAAGGCCGCCACCGCCAGACTGCCGGCATCCTCCTGCCTCAAGGGCACAGACCCTCTTTAGATTTCTATCTGAGCGCTCAAACTCTAAAATCATGATTTGAGGGAATTGGATCTTGGTCAGAGCCTATTTTAGCGATTACAGAGACTCCATGCCTGGTTGACAGTTGTTTTTTTACAGGAATCTTGAAAACAGACAAGTAGGTACTCATAATCCCCAGGGCACAGGGGGATGTTTGGGTCCTCTCAAAAGCACAGCAGCAGCTAGGGCAACATCTGGTTGTGAGACTGTCCATTTTATCCTTGAATTCTCACGTGCCTGTGTCTTCTTTGGATCTGTTTCCCCAAGTGATCTCTATGATGTGGAAGGCAGTGCAGGTGACCCCTGAAGGTGTTTAACTGATACTCAAGGGCTCTTGGACATGCCATATGGGTCTCTGCCAACACCCCCAAAGGTGTATTCTCGGATCAATCACAAGAATGGTGAAGACCATGCAGACTAGTGCTGGGTAAATGTGCCAGTGTCTGGGGTCTGGCGGGTTACAGGGTGGGCTGTGAATACCTGCCCATCCCGTCTCCAGGTTCCTGGTCTTCCTTCGTTACCAGTGTTACTACGGGAACCCATTGCTCACCTACCTGGAATACCCCATTCTCATTGCACAAGGTAACTGGCCCTCCTGTCCCCAGCCCGCCCTCCTGCTGTCCTGCCCATCTCACAGGGCCTCTTCTTTCAGACATTGTCCTCCTGCTCTTCGTCTTTCATTTCAATGGGAACGTGAAGCAAGCCTTGCCCTACATGGCTGTGTATCCTTCCTGCATCTGAGCGGTAGATAGAGGTGGAGGGGCTAAGGAAGGGGGCTCAGTGGTGACATACAAGAGGCTCTGGAGTCTGTCCTCTACACTGAAAAAGAAAAAATAGGATTTGGGATGTTTTTTGCTAATACATACATGAAACAGGTTCCTTTTTTATTTTTAACTAAAAAAGACCCACAAATGCAAACCTTGACACGAACCTTAGGTTAGTACAGTTGCTGCCAGAGGTATCCCTGTAACGGGGTGCCCCACTGCTCTCCAAGACCCAGTGGGGTGTAGATTTGCTGTGTCCCTGTTGAACATGAGAAGTGTGCAGTTACCCTGCTAAGAGCAACGCGCTCCACCTGTGCTTATCTTGGGCACTCCTTCCTTCCAAGTTCATGTCCCCAGGGGATTAATAACATGAGAGTGCCTGGCACCAAGTCGCATGCCGGACGCACCTGGCAGGTGCTTGTCGGTGGGTAGGCATGAGCCAGATGGTGGCCTTTTTTTTCCTAATCACACCCCTATGCAAAACTAATTTAGAGGCTGAACCTTGTCATCTGGGTGGCTGAGTTGGCTTGGAGGCTTACAGTGCAGAATGGCCAACCATCAGACTGCATGTTCTATGCAAAAGGTGAGGTTTCTCACCAGCCCTTTTTGTAAAAAAGTTTTTGAATTTCATATCCCTTCAAAGGCTAGAAAGTGTTTGCATGGCAGTGGCAGTCAGCCAGTCCTGCTGCCTCCAAGACATGGCCACACAGCTATCCTACAGCAACAGACCCCAGGGTTTGGGCAAGTCTTGATCAGAAGCTATCTCAGATGGCAAATAGCCAACTGGCTCAGGTTCCCCTCCCTCCATAGAAAGAGGGAGAGCATAGCTGTGCTCCACTTCTGTCCTGAAGCTAGTTTCAAGGGGCTGTTGCCTTCATTTCCCCCATGAGGCTGAGGCTGACCTTGGTCTTCTGATCTTCTAGCCTCCACTTACTCAGATGCTGGAATTACAGACACGTGCCACCACACTTTGCATAGAGCGTGCTTTGGTAAGAGTCTAACACAGTTGGATGCTGGCCATTGCTGCCTCCTGAGGCAGGCCATCTCTGGTGCAATCCCTTCACCTACTTAATGTCACCATTGTTCTCAGCCACCTTTGCGTTTCTTCTCTATGCTGGCTTCGTGTGGGAGGTAGGCAAGGCGAGGAATGAAACCCAGAGTAAAGCAGTGGGAAGTGACTTGTTCCTCCAGCCTGACCATCCCCCCCCCCCCCCCCCCCCATAGCTTGATCTTTCTGCTCTGGTTCAGCCCCTTTGTCTCATATAGTCACTGAGCTCCCTACACAAGCCTGATGGAAAATGGTTCCTCCTTACCTAGCATTGCACACCTCTCCTTTGCAAGGTTGGACCTCTCTTGTAAGTGCTTAATTTTGACGATGCATTAGAGATGTCTACATGGTCAGAAAAACAGCAGAAAGGGGAGGGTCTGGAGAGGCTGCTCTTCCAAAGGACCCAGGTTCATTTCCCAGCACCCCCATGGCAGCTTACGACTGTCTATAACTTCGGTTCCAGGAGATCTGAGACCCTCACACAGACACACATGCAGGCAAAATACCAATGCACAGAAAACAAAAATAAATTATTAACAAAAAGAAACCAGTAGACAGTATAGCCCTATGGATATTCCCAGTCCCAGGTTACAGTCTACGAGCGCAGGTCTGCGTGTTTTCTTCCACAGTTTTCTTCTATTCCTTCAACTCAGGGCAGATGCTCACATGCAAACCCCTACATCTTTCCCAAACTGGACACTGTCTGGCAGAAGTCACCCCCTCCCCTCGGCCTCTGTGTCATGTCCTGTGATCTGGCTTGGTCTGTGAAGGACAAGATGGGAAGGGTGGGTGGGCCTGCCAATGACTCACTGCTGCGTCCCTTAGCACTTGACCAGATTTGTGTCTTCTTGGTTCGTCCTCAGCCTGCAGAAATGGATCATCGACTTGGCCATGGTGAGTGGTACCACTAACAGAGAGACTGAAATAGCAGATACCTTCTCCTTGCCCCGACATTGCTTTAGAGCAGTGGTCCTCTGCAGGGAACCATGGAGTTGGTTGGCTTGGCCTAGCCGCCTTGAGAGGCAGGTTAGAGTCCAAGGTACAATGTGCCTTTCAGTTCCTGAGAGACAATGCAGTCCCTCAGGCAGTGAAACATTCAGGCTGTCTTTCTCTTGTTCCCTCAGTAGTCAAGGAAGCATGGAAACTTGATAGGACAATGGACCTTGGGCATTTATTTCACCAATCTTGTGTATCCTGAATAAGTTTGTAAATGTCATGGTATCCTGGCAGCTACAACTGTATTGATCCTGGCAACTGCCACTATAGTCTGTTTCTGATAAAGACATAAAATGGCCACAGCTTAAGTTTTGCTCTGAACCCTCCAACCGGCCTGGTTTCATTCCTCATTATCAGGTGACCTTGGCCAAGTAAGAATGCCTACAGTTCTCAACTTGCCTAATGATGTGACCCTTTAATATAGCTCATTTGTGGTGACCCCAATCATAAAATTTCACTGCTTCTTTATATCTATGATTTTGTTAGTTATAAATAGTAATGCAAATATCTGATATGCAGGATATCTGATATGTGACCCCACACACACACAAAGGGGTTATGACCCACAGGTTGAGAACCACTGCTTTAGTGCACTGGGGGCTGGGGTTCACTCTTTGCAGTTGTGCTGAGGATGAAAAGGCAATACCAGCCAATTATTAGAAGACATTCTTGAAAGGTTTTTGTTTGGGGGCTCAATGGGAGCACTAAGATGGGCTGCCCTCCTGCTCTTATTTGTGTATGGGGGGTGGGGTTGCATGCAGGCCTTTGCAGTAGTCAGTTATCTTCCATTTTGTGGGTTTCAGGGACTGGACTTAGGTCATTAGGCCCCACAGCAATCTTTCCCACCCACTGAACCATCTTGCCATCCCTGACAGCTTAATTTTTAACGAATTAATCTTCCCATTTCCTTCCACTCTGACCCCTGCTTCCATCCCTCAACAAGCACTTACTGTGCGCCTGCTCTCTAGCAGACTCGGGGACTGGTACTTTTCGTGGCCACATTGCAGCTTCTTCCCAGTCCCTTGCCTGCACTGGACTGTTTTGTGGGAAAAACCCGATGCTTTCCCTTGACTGTATGTTGATACTACCAGGGTTCCCTTAGGGCCCAGTCCCAAGCTACCCCTTCATTTCAATGTTGGCCTTATTTGTGAAAAACAAACACTCCAAGTAGCTTGTCCATTCAGACATGGCTATGTCATAACCCAGCCATGGTGTCTCTCCCTTCTTGGCCCCTCACAACAACACTGACCTGGCCTGGTCCCCTTCCTTTGCTTTATCCAGCATCCCATTTTTTCAAGAGCCTTTTTCACAGGCTTCCCTGTTTGGGGTTAGCATTCCTGCAGGTCATCTGTGCCCAGGTCCCACTGTGACTTTTGTCTGCTTAGGTTTGCCAATGGCATTGCTCCCTCTGCCCAGAGACACTGACACTCCTTGCTCCATGATTCTTCCCTGTGTAGCTCCATCTCTCACCCACAAGGGCTCCTGGAGGTCAGCTAGGTGTCTGTAGCAGGATTGCCCCAGCAGGAAGCAGAGCAGGTACTACAGAGCCTGTCAAGGGCCCTGTGACTGCCACTCATGCAAAGCCATTCCCACCCCATTTCCATGCAACATCCCTGAACTTTCACTATAGATCAGGGTCTCTATACCATTCGCTTGGTTCTCTTACCTGGCTTTCAAACACATCCCTTTCTGTGGTCCTTCTGATCCTTTCTGCTTCATCTCCCTGACTTCTTGCATGCTGCTCATGCCACCTTACCCAGCCCGGGTGACTGCAGGGCCCTCCCTCTGGTCTGTCTGAACCAAGCAGCTCAGTCAGAAATGGGGCCTGGTTGGTCAATAGCCAGTTTGCAAGGCTTTCTTACCTGAGTGGTAACAGAAGACAGAACTCAGGACAGGGAATAGACACAAGGTTCCTGTGGCTTCAGTGTAGAAGTCGGTCAGTTCAGTGCCATGCTGGATACAGAACCTCTATACTGGGGAGGGGAGGGGATAGGGTGGGCCTGCAGCCAGGCCTCTGATTCTTCGACTAGCTTTGGCCAGTCCACTCCCTACCACAGAGGGAGCTGAGAGTCATTCTTCACCAAGTTGATGTTTCAAACCTTGGCAGGTTGGGTATTGCTGGGTTTGGCTTAAAAAGCGTTGTATCTGGGCTGACAAGATGACTCACTGGTTAAAGGTGCTTGCTGCCAAGCCTGAAGACCTGAGTTCAATCCCCAGGATTACATGGTGGAAGAACTGGCTCCCATGAGTTGTGTCCCCTCCCCAGAGGGGAAAAAAATTGTGTGTCTGAGAGAGAACGAGTGCGAGAGAACGCACTATACACAGTACTTTTTAGGTTCTTGACTTTTTTTCCACAACAGAACTTATGCACAGTCATCAGTGCAGCCAGTAAATTTGCCCAGCTGCAGTATTTGTGGAAGGCACAGGACTCTGGAGCTGTGAGCGCACTAACCTGGGGCCTCTCTGTGTACACCTGTGCAAGTAAGATCACCACTCTCTAGGGACTGGGCTTCATCACTATCGGGGTCTTTCTGGTGTTAACTGACTGTCCGAGGTCTTTTTCATACTAATACTTTTGTAATTATTCAATAGAACCTGTATACAAGGGGGTATATTGCAGGCTGTGGCTGACTTGAGTATTGGCTTCAACTGTTACCCAGGTCCCACTGGGGTTGTCAATGGAGAAAGCAACTAAGCAAAACAAAAGCAATCAAACAAAAATCACCCTGGTTAGACAAGAGCAGCTTGTCTTAACCAATTCAGTTTTCTTACCTATGAAAAATGGAGTGGACTTTAATGTTTACAGAATTTCTGCCAAGCATGGCAGTCCATGCCTTTAATCACAGTATCTGGAAGCAGAGGTAGGTGGGTAGCTCTGGGAGTTCAAGGCCAGCCAGTGATACACTGTGAGACCCTGTCTCAAAAAACATTTTTAAAATATTATTTTTGCTTTAGTTTTATGTATTGGGTGTTTTGCCTAAATTTATGTATGTGTACCACATACATGCCTGGTGACCTCAGAGGCCAGAAGAGGGAGTCAGATCCTTTGGGACTGGGGTTATATGCTCCCACGTGGGTGCTGGGAAGCAAATCCAGGTCCTCTGGAAGAGGAGTCAGTGCTTTTAACCACCGAGCCACCTCTCTAGCCTATCTACCTATATCTCCATGTGTGTGTATATGTACACACACACACACACACACACACACACACACACAGAGAGAGAGAGAGAGAGAGAGAGAGAGAGATACTTTTAAAGTAGTGAAAGCCTGTTTTCAGCTAAACTGCCTAGAACTCAAGGTTGATTTTTTTAGGGTGAGCACATAGAGAGACAGGAGCCCTCCCTGGCAATGCTGAGCTACTCTTGCAAATCACTTCGCTTTTTTGAGCAGCTTCTATATGACTGAGCCACAGTACATGGCTGCTCATTAGATGGTTACACAATACAGTATTAAAAAGGGGCCCATCAACATCATTCAAGAAGGTATTATATAGCATTACAGTAAAATGGCAAAGAATGACCTAAACAGAAATATCAAAATGTGTGAGAAGTAATTTACTATTATGAATTTTCTTTTACAGCAAGAATAATAACAACTTTAATGACCACCAATGATTTGCCAAGTAAGCAGAAACTTTTGACTTCCTGTTTGCATTTTTTGGTGAGACTTGGGTCTCCACCTGGAACCCATTATAAAGCTTAACAGATCCATTTAGTTCAACTGGACTATGGATTCAAAGACAAAATAGTATAAACTTAGTTTTCAACAGTGACTGTCTGTATTAAGCACCCATTCCTTGCATTCCCTGGAGAGTCGATTCTCATCTTGGAGTTTCTACTTCCACAGGGCAATTAACTGCTGAAATCATGTTGTGAAGTGGGTTTTCATAGCAGGGCTGGTGGGTGTGGTGGCATGCACCTGTAGTCCCATTTACTTAACCAGCTGAGGCAAAAGAGCCAGGCTAGCCTGGGAGCAGCAGGGAAGGTAGCTGAAGGAGCCCTGCCTACTCTGAGGGCACGGGGAGCATTATCTGATGAGGAGCAAGGTTTTACAAGCTGAATAAGGATTTGATCAGGAGAGCAACATTTAACGTGACCAGGGCATGGGAGGCAGGGAGCTGTGAGAGAGGGAAGGAGAGGAGAGAAGTGAGGCTACAAGAGTCTATAGACTCCTACAGGAGAACTATAGACATGGCTATGAGCAGACAGACACCTCCAACAGTGTTTTAAAGCAGCGGCTCAAGTAGCACCATTTGCTACATGTTCATACAGGAACACGGGTAGGAGTGTGTGTGTGCGCACACACATGTGCGCACATGCAAAAAAAGCTAAGAAAATATTTTGGTTACTTAAAGAGATTAATTAACCCCTTAGGCTGTTCTTAATTTGCAACACAGCATCTTTGGAAAGTGAAAAAAAAACAGAAACCTATCCAATGATTGGCAAATATCCTCAGCACTAGACTTTTCATTGAGAAAGCAAGCTGCAGAAGTCCCTTTTGTCAACACTGACTTTAGTTACAGCACTCAGGACGCAGAGGTAGGCTGATCTGAGTTCAAGGCAAACCAGGTTACATAAAAAGTTTCAGATTCAGAACAGCCAGGGCTACATAAAGAGACCCTGTCCAAAAAAGAAAGAAAACAAAGAAAGACATAACGAGAGAGAGAGAGAGAGAGAGCGCTAGTATGCCATTTATATCTATGGCATACTTGGTAAGGTGGCTTGCCTTGCATGGGGGGAGCCCTGGCTTTAATCCACAACACATCCTAAAATTGTAATTCCAGCACTTGGGATGCAGAAGTAGGACAATCAATTTAAAGTAATCCTCAACTACATAAGAGTTTGAGTCAGGAAGACCTGTCATGAAACAAACACAAGCCTTCATGTCTTAAGGGGCAAGTAAGGTCACTGTTCTCATGATCTAACAGTCACATTTTTTGTGGCCACTTCATTGTGCAACATGTACTGACACAGGGCTGCTGTCTTGGAAATAATTCCATGAGATGAGGTCTCTGCTGTGTTGCCCAGGTTCGATTTTCACTGGGGCCTCAATTCCCTCAGCCTCCCTCATGGTTCCGTGGGTAGAGCCCACCAGTTTACTGGAATGTTCTTTGCAGAACGCAGCACTCTGGAGGCGTAAGCAAAGGGGTCTTAGTTACACTTCTTAGCCAGAGCCATTAATACTTCAGTGAAGTACCAAGGATGCGTGGCTGGGTGCTCAGGTATTTCCATAGGAAATCCCTTTTTCTGGAAGTACCTGGAAACACCATTGTCCTCACACTCTTGTTTTGTCTGGGGGTCAGGATGAAACCTTACATAAGTTTCTACTTAAGGCAGTATAATGTCTAGTTCTTTTTAATGTTAGAACTTTCTTTTTATTTATTTCAGTTCTTATCCGTTTTGTGATCATGTTGGCTTTAAATATATGGGTAACAGCAACAGTACTTCACTACCGGAAGCCTGTCACCAAGGCTGAATGACAGCCTTTCTACACACAGCGACTTCAAATGACTAAACCAGGGGATGCACCATTGCTTTGTGTTCCTACACTTAAAATCTTTTACTAGTCAACGATGTTCAGAAACCTTAAATCATGCTTGTAAAAAGCCACTTAGCTGGATATGGAAGTGCAAACCTACAATCCCAGCACTTTGGAGTCTGAGGTAGCCTGGGCTACACAGCAGACTCAGAGAAGAAAGACAAGGAGGGAGAGGAGAGTCACTATTTAAAATGCCAACTTCCTTTCCCCCACTCTTTAGGCTGTGGGAGGGCTTAGACATTGAGTTTTTGTGTGTGTTTTTCTGTCCCACTAAAGTCTCGCTACATAGCCCAAGCTATCAATGGGCATGCTGGACTAGAGCGCAATGATGAAAGCTACCCAAGGCCATCTTGACTCTTAAAAGTCATGATTAAGCTCTCGCTGAAGAGCCAGCCACATCTACACTGCGGCTTTCAGAACCTTGGAACAGTTTTCCCACCAGGAGTGAGGTGTGCCCAGTCAGAAGTGGAACTGTTTGTACCTGGGCAGTTTAACTCTTCCATCAACAAGAGCTTGGCCTTGTATGTCATAATGCGGCATGCCATCCCCTCAAGCCAAGCAATGCTACTGCACTGTGCACAGATGCAACTGCTTAGTGTATTAACCTCACAGTGTGCCTCAACGGGTTCTTAAACAGAGCCCGATCTGTTTAGATGACGAAATCCCAATGGTCTTCCCGGATTAAGCACAATGCTGCCATGTTTTAAGGGCTATACTTCAGTTACCACTGCTGGAATTTAATATAGGTTTTAACTACTAGAAGGTATACAGTAAGGAATATTGCTAAGTCCTACGCAATTCTTACTATATATCTTACCAATATCTTACTAACGTAACATATCTTAAACATTGTTGGTTACAGTACTTCCTCTGATGTTTTATAAACCCAACATTTAAAAACTTACTTTCTTCTTCTATGTGAATGTCATTATCATGGTATATTTCAAGTAAGTAAATGATGTTTACTGGAAAATGTTTAGTTTCCTATGTAAAATAAACTTTCATTTATTGAACCCCACTGAATCTTAAACTGTCATTAATTTTCAGTTATGCAGGTACAGCACCTTAGCAAGCCAGCTTATCTTGTTAGGTAGATTGCCCTGGACCCAGGAGAGAAAAACTACATCTAAACATAAATCATTTCAACCACTGTCAGAAAACAAAACCCAAGTTCATCCTTCCTCACACATACTGACAATCTATTAATTTAATATAATTCGTGGTCTTTACCCCAACAAGTGTTTTAGATATTTTACCACTACTTAAAGCATTTCTTTTAAGTTAAAAACAAAGAAGAAAGAAGGAGGAGGAGGAGGAGGAGGAGGAGGAGGAGGAGGAGGAGGAGGGAGGAGGAGGAGGAGGAGGAGGAGGAAGAGGAGGAGACCATTACCCTTTTGTAGCCCAAGCTGGCTCAAACTCATCTTTCTGCCTCTATCTCTTCAGCATATTTTACCAGAATACATCACCACAGTGGCCATTTCCCTCTAGTGGAAGGAACATCTGAGTTACTGCAGCCATCTCAAATTATCATCCTATTTCAAACTAACAATCCCTGTAAGGTTGCTACAGTCTCCACTTTACAGGTAAATGTGCTGCGACTCAAAACACCCAACCACAGACCCAATGGCAGCCATGGATTACCAGTAAGGAACCTTCTAAAGACTGCCCATCATACTATTTTCTGACAGAAAGGCACCCTGTGTCCTCTACCCTCCCCACCTAAAACCAGACATTTAAGTTTACATGCCCAAAGTGAATCAGAGGCAGACTCCCGAGCCAAACTCTCCATGAACTAAGGCAGAAGTGGTTTTACTACGATGCCATCCCCATTTTCTATTGGCACTTTTTGAAGAGACAGGTTAAAAAGCTGCAGTTCATTCACAACTATTTCACAGGAAAAGATGCTTACATCTTAGTTTCTTTTATTTATTTTTTTAAACAAAAAGCAGGCATAAAAATACAATTACATTACTACAAAGATGCAATAAAATAAAAAATAAATCAAGAGGATATGATTTTTTTTTTTTTTGTTGGGAGGGGGCAGCTGGTCCAGGATGACTCTCTAAATCATGCAGTTTATAACTTATTACAGTTCCAAACAAATGTCACCACAGTGAAGGGAACAAGGCAAGGGCCCAGGGCACAATACTCAGCACTGTCACACAGTGCTTGTCAAAGTGCTTTAACATTGGCTGTGGCACCTCCATGAGCCCAGGGGAGCTGAAGCCACCTTCAGGCAGGAAAGGAGACTCAGTAGCATAAAGGGCTTGAGACACTCGGAAGCTACTTGCTCTACTTGAGAGTTTCAACATGCTACTTAGAGCATCACTGTAAGGTTTCTTAATGTCTGAGTTCCCTACTTCACCCTGGGATCCTAACAGACCAACAGCAGCAGCATGGTGTTTTCAGCTGGTTTGGCAGCCTCGAGCATATCTCACTAGGATCGTAAAACTAATGAAAGGCCCCTCTAGGGCCTGTGGCCTCTCAAAGGCTGGCCACAAACCCCAGCCTTCCCTTGGGATCACTAACTCACTTATTCTTTAGCTGGTTAGGGAATTTCAAACTTTCAGAAAGTTTTTTTTTGTTTGTTTGTTTTTAATCTTGCTTTTAGATAATGTTACTGAAAACTAATGCTTAAAAATTAATTTTACATTAATTTTCAAAAGTAATACTGGTACTTAAAATTTTCTTTTACTTCTTTTTTTTGTTTGTTTCTACAAAGCAAAAGTACAGCATCCAACTAAAGAAATCCAGCATTCCCTGTCTTTTAGGTTCCAACTGGAGTATTTATGGCTCTGTGAGAAACTGAGCAAAGGAACAGTATCTGCTCTGATTAGCATTTATTTTGAAGGTTTGGGGGCCTCAAGAAAAAGTGAAACTGACATAAAATTAGGTTACTCTTGTAATCACTGTTGGACTGGGGGGGGGTGGCAGGTACATGCAAATGACAAGAGGAAAAGCAAATGCTTCCCTAAGGTCACGTGTTTTTTCACATGCAATTCTGTCAGCTGGACAAATGACCTTATAAATCCTTATTAAACCATATGTGAAGAAGCTCCATGGAGAGATTTTTCACCCCTCAGAATGTTTTATTCCCCTGAATCCTTCACATCAATTGCCTTGCACAGTTGCATTACAACATGATTCTTCAAACTCTTAATACATATATATACACACAGCATCCAAAATTTAACTTTTGACTTTTTTTACTCAAATACTTCAATTATTCATGTGTAAACTTGACATTATTTCACCTTAATAAAGTTTATTTAAAAATATATATATATATATATACTCTCCAATTCAGAATAGGATAGAACCTTCCATAGTGTAACAAAATCTTTATATAAAATATTAAATCAGTCTCCTTTTAAACAACTCTAATGAATGGAAATAGTTCTTCTATATAAATTTTATATATTTTCATTTTTAAATCTGAAGGAGGAAGGGAGAGAGGGAAGAAAGAAGAGAGAGAAAGGGAGAAAGGGAGGGAAGAAAGGAAGAAAGGAAGCTGGGTATCAAACGAGAGCTGCAGTGCACAGCTACTTCCAGGAAAATGGCATGCAGAGACAGCATGAAAGATGCAACTGGGCTATCTGAAGGTCACAGAATTGGATTTAGTATATCAATAGGCCGAAGGCCACTATTTCCACAATAGCATCTATAACAAGGATCAAACTTTTTACAAAATCTCTATACTGACCCCAGAGGGAAGCAATAAAAAATGTTTACTGGCTTCACTGTAGTATCAGGCAAACATTTCACTACCATAGTGAACTTCTCATATGTACAGAGCCTGCTGTCGCCCACTGCTGTGCACTTCAGCACACCTACCTGGGCCAGCAGCATAGCAGGATAGCTCCTACCTGTTCTCTAACCTCAGCAGCATTTAATAATAATAAAAAACAAACTAACCATTTCTGAGGCTGCCTCTTCCCAGATATCAAAGTTGAAATACTGCCATACACAGCTGTTTGTTTCAGGAACACATTTAAATATTTAAAATATATCTACAGTACATGTTAGTTTTCTTTATATTTGAGACAATTTCTGAATCTTGAATGAAAATGTGAAAAAAAAAATTGTCTTTACCATAAATAAAAACACATCTAGAATAACCAGCAAATTCAAAATTCTGTAGTCACATACTAGCTGAAGTCTGTAAAAAGGGATGAAAAAAAAATAACAGATGTACATCACACACATTAGTTTCAATATAATCCATTATTGTTTCTATGACCAAATACATTAAAAACCATTACACATCAAATAGGCTGACACTGATATAGCTACTATATGTAAAATAGTGCACTACTTTCCCCACAAAGCAAGCTGCATCTTAAGAGCTGGTAAACTTGTTCTTTTCTTAAATATAGAAAAGGGTTGAGATTTGGGGGAAAGAAAATTAAATTAAGGCATTCAAAATGGGTAAAGTTGCCTACCATAAGCATTAGGAAACTGGAATAATTAACTTCAAACTTTGTTACAGTTACTGTTTACACAAACATGCATCTCCTATCAGGTACATGAATGAAGGATATAAACTCCAACATTATGGCTTTATACAAGTGCATAGTTGCAACTGAATGATGTCTGATTAATGTGTATAAAAAATAAAATGGTAAGTTAAAAAAAACCTTGCAGTATTACAATACAATGTTTTTGTGTGTGTGTATATATATATGTGTGTGTGTGTGTGTGTGTATATGTATATATGAGTTGAGCCTCATATATATATCTATATCTATATACACACACATATATTAGGCTCAACTCATATGTACATACATACATGAACACAACATCATGGTCACTCCTTAGAGATGCAGTCAGCATCACTATAGTGGGATCCACTCCCAAATTCTTCTGGCTAATGTGCTGGTGAAAACCCTCTGTTGAAGCTGACATGTGGTTTCTTTAAACTCTTCTCAATTCTGTACAATGTAGTGTGACTGCCAAGAGGTTTATGAAGCACGTCTGGAAGAGTTGCACGACACCTTTACTCACCAATCACTGTTCGTTCAACTTGTTTCAAAACAGCCCAGAAAAGCTCTCCATGATTTGTAATTATTTCATGGGGGAAGAAAGCACGCACATGTGTGTGTGCGTGCGCATGTATGTGTGTGATCAGTCTCTTGGTAAAATATAGCTTTTTAGTTATGTTTTAAGAAATCATATGTCAGTCTTGTGGCTGGATGAATATAATCATCTTCAATAACTGCTTTCACAGAAGGCAGTTAGCTAGAAAGGGAAGAAAAATAATATTAGTTGATACAGTTAAGTAAAAAAAAAAAAGTTAAATTCCCTGAAAAAGTATTTCACTTTTATCATTAAGCTATATTTCCTCTGTATTTCTAAAACTCAATTCATGCATTAACATACTCAACTGTATTACTTTTCTTAGTTTTAGGTACATGCAATTACATTCTTTCTAAAGCCAACAATCACCTTTCTAAGTCCCACACTGGCCACCAACATTCGATGCAGTTAACAGGCACTATTAAAGTTAAAAGAAAGCACTACAAGGCCTTGTATGGTGCTGAACTACTAGCTGCCTTATGTGGCTGAAAGCATTATTTATGGTCAGCTTCTATATAGCTGTAGGACCTCAAGCCATATTTTTTCATATCTATAAAATAGAAATAAAGGGCTAGACTTTAGCCACTAGAGTACAGCTCAGGGGTGCAACACTTGCCTAGCGAGCCCAAGACCCTGGGCTCTATCCTCCTTACCACAAAACACAACAAAGAAACTACAAGAGAAATAAACACACTGTAGTATACCTATGTAAAGACATTCACAAGCCTGGATATAGAGGTTACAGTATTACACGATGTAGGTACATGCCCTCACAACATGCTCAGTTGACATAGATTACTTTTTTCATTATTTATTCATTCACTTCACATTCTTATGTGTCTATTCTATGTGAAGATTTAAAGTCATGAGGTTTAATTTTCATTCAATCTCATTATTAAGCAAACACTTGACATTCTCCTGTTCTGTTCTCTGAGGCAGGGTCCCATTACCAGCCTTGACTGGTCTAGCTCTCACAAGCCTCTCCTGCTGTGGGAGGGCAACTGCAGCCTTGCATGTTTCAATGCCTAGTGCTCTTTGTGAGACAAGTTCTCATGTAGCCTAGACTGGGCTCAAATTCACTATGTAGCTGGAAGATGACCCCCACCCTCACCCCACAAGTGCTGGAATTCAAAGTGGGCCACAATGCCTGGGGCTTTACATTTCCAAGTCACTTCCTTTCTTTTTAGCAAGAGTAATGTTAAATTTTCTCCACATCACAAAGACAAATCAGAAAGAGCTACTTCATTGCACCGTATCAGACTATAAAGTTTTTATGGCTTTAATTCTTGCAAGTTAGAAAGAAGGAAGGAGAAAAAAATAGAGAAAACAAAGAAACAAACCCATGCTATGTTCACAAACTAGTCTGAGATTGAAAACACTGTTAAGTTTTAATTCTCTGAATATAATTTCTATAGAATGAAACAAAGGTTTGTTCCCTTTTTTTAAGATTTATGTATTTATTATTTATACAGTATTCTGCCTGCATGTGGGTCCGCAGGCCAGAGGAGGGCACCAGATCTCATTATAGATGGTGTGAGCCACCATGTGGTTGCTGGGAATTGAACTCAGAACCTCTGGAAGAAGTCAGTGCTCTTAACCTCTGAGTCATCTCTCCAGCCCATCCTTTCTTTATTTCTACACGCTTAATTCTAAGATAAAGTATTTTAATTCCAATAATATTGGAATATTTATAGCCAATAAAAAAATCTGAATATTGCGAATCCAGCGGTAGTGGAGCACGCCTTTAATCCCAGACCTCAGGAGACAAAGGCAGGTGTATCTCAGTGAGTTAGAGGCCAGCCTGGTCTACAAAGTGAGTTCCAAAATAGCCAGGGCTCCATAGAAAAACCCTGTCTTGAAAAACTAAACAAACAAAAAGAATCTGAACATAGCATTTCACTTTTAGACTTGCCATGGCAGTTCCAGTTAGAAATATTGTTTCTGAAAACTAGTTTTTAAGCATACCCTATTAAAAACATTATAAAATTTCAAAACTAGTCCAACAAAAAAGAGACAAGGAAAGACTAAGTGCAAACCACATGCACTACATGGAAGTACTAAAAACTCATTCTTTTTTTTTGATTTACCCATTTATTTCTTCAGAAATCAAAAACATCGTCATCATCATCATCACCATCAACATCATCAAATGACCAATCCCATTCTTTAAATGCCAAATCAAGCAATCTGTAACAGGAGGTTCAGAAGTTTATATGCTCTATCCTTTATAAACTGCAGAATGTAGCGCTGTGGCTAGAACGTGCTCTAAGTTTCCCTTCAGGAGCAGAGTGGCAACAGTTCAGATGGAAGCACCAGGGAAGTTTCTCCACTGGCATATGCAGGTGTAGTCATGTTGGCCAGGCACACTACAGAAGGGCTCTCTGGAAAGAACTCAAGACAAATTCTGTCTGGGCAGAGAACATAATTTGCTCTTCGCACTCATTCCTACTGTCCAGATAAAGATGTAGCTACCCTGATTCTCAATGTGAGAAAGTTGTTGTTTAATAAATAACACCATAAACGATAAACAACAACAGAAACACAGCTTTCTCAATTCCAGAAGTACATCTACCTGCTGGTCAATAGCTATGTTGTAATAGGGAACAAGAGACAGCCACAGGCATGTTAAATGGCATTGTCAACTTAACTTGGCTAAATAAATGAAACATAAACCAAAGCATGAATCATGTCTTCTTTTCAATAATTTATTTTTATTTTATGGGCATTGGTGTTTTGTTTGTATGTCTGTGTGAGAGTGTCAGATCCATTCCAACTAGAGATACAGATAGCTGTGAGCTGCTGTGGGTGCTAGAAGCCCAGGTCCCCTAGAAGAGCAACCAGTGGTCTGAACTGCTGAGTCATCTCTTCAGCCCCTCATGTTGTTTTTAATTTAAAAAAATAATACTCTAGCTTTTCCAGATTATACAAACCTTCTGCTTTTTAAAAATTACATTCATTTATTTATTGTGTGTGTGTATATATACGTGCCATGAGTGGACTGAAGGAATGAGTGGTAAGTTGCTTGCAGGTCAGGACAATTTATGCAAATACTATCTCTTCTACCATGTGGGTTTGAACTTTTATCCACTGAGCCTGACCAGTTTGTGCCAATTGAACAACCTATACTGTAACATTGCAGTCACCTTTATTTAAAGCAGGGAGGTGGGGTAAGCCTTTAATTATTCATAACTGTGATGCTCATGAATTTCTGGCAAAGAACTTTCTGGTCCCCAAGGTTACACCTGTGGTTACATTGTCAGTGGCTCTAAATTTGAGTGTATAAGATTTATCTATTAAGTACTCTCAGACCTCATTCTGAGATCTGGATATGACTGAACAGGAGTAGAAAGGCCTTAGTATTTACATGTTTAAATAACCTGGATAATTTTTCTTTTTGTTTCTGTTTTTCACACAGGTCTAATCTAGCCTAGGATGGCTTCAAACTGTGTTGACTAGGCTTAGCTTTGAACTCCTGATCCTCCTGCCTCTGCTTCACAAGTGCTAGGATTACAGGCATGTCCTACCATATCCAACTAATTAGAGTGATTTTTGATATAGATGGTAAACTTTGGGAAATTATTCTGACACTCTGAAAAGTATGAAAGTTCAACATCTGCCAACATTCCCTTCAGAGTGTCTAGCACTATAAGCCATGGAAGGAAAAGAAAGGAGACAGATTATAAACTTAACATAGATAAACCAAACCAAATTACTCTTTCAAAAGTGTTGAATATTTGAAAGGCTGAAATCTTCCAAATTTCCTGAGTATCTAAGTTAGCTCTATTTACAGATATTTTAAAGAAATCTGTATTTTATGTCCTTCTGAAGTCTTTGAGATGTGTGCCAGTACCACAGCTGTGTGATGTGTGTGTGTGTATTGGGTATGTCTTTCTCTATTATTTAATGCCTTATTTCCTTGAGAGAGGACCTCTCACTAGACTTGAAGCTCAACACTTTGGCTAGGCTGCTCGGCTAGTAAATTCCCAGGACCTATTCTGGTACCTAATGCTGGTCTTACAGGTATGTGCTATCACACAGAAGTTTTACTTGGGACACTGCGAATGGAACTCAGGTGTCATGCTTGCACATGCCCTCTTACCAACTGGGCCATTTCCCTTCCAATACTGCAATTTTATATTTAGAACCATACACTACATTATTAGTGCAAAATATAAGACCTCTCTAAAAACCTCTCCTTCATTCTCTTCCATTCAGTCAGCTTATTTTGGTTATTTCAAGTTAAAAATACCATCTTTCTGAACTCAGGTTTTTTTATTTTATTTTATTTACTTTTTTTCTATCAGAACTCAATTTAGATGTTTGGTAAGTTATTGAAAAACTTAAATTTAAACAATTCCACCATCCTTTTTTAGTTGGATTCAGGCTTCCTCTCCAATGTCACATTACTATTTTCTATCAGCTGCTACTCTGTCCTCTCCCAGACTCAGCACAACATAAAATTACAAATAGAAATTGTGGTTTTAATATAATTCCTTTGCTAAGTAAGGCTGTTTTTACTTCTTTTAAAAACATGGTCTTACTAGCCCTGCCTGGTCTGGAGCTCAGTATGTAGACCTTGAACTCACAGAGATCTGCCTGCTGCCACTGCCTCTCAAGGGCTATGATTAAAGGCATGCACCACCTGACCAAGAGAATACTATAAAAGCAGCACTTCCAAGTCCATTTTTAAGCTATCAATATCTGCTCACATTATCACCAAACAGTGGAATTTACAGCTAAAGGTGAAGACTCTGAAACCTGGTCTGATGCTCCCAACTATGACCTTGGGCATATTTTTCTTGGGAGGCAGAAGCAGGCAGATCTCTTCGTGGAAACATGATCCCCAGGTAGCAATGCTGAGAAACAGATCCTAAGAAGATAACTGAGTCATTTAATGAATGAATCAGTTCCTTGGAAGTAGTTCTGTTATACAGAGCAAGCTTTCTTGGGCAAGCTTACTGTGTCCTGTCACAGGAAGTCCTCTGCCAGGTTATGGTGCAAATGGCCCTCACTGGATGCTAGTGCCATGCTTTTTAGATGTGCTAGCCTCCAATCTGAGGTGCTGAGTACGAGCCCTGGGAGAGTGTAATTAGGTAGTGAAACAGTATTTTTGCATTAACAGTTGTACAATACTGATCACAGAAACTTAAATTTCAGATATTTTACACAAAGCACACACAAAATAGCCTTCAGTGTCTCTCAATTCTTTTAAGGTTAAAATTTTTTTTTTAATTATATGTGTGTGTGTGTGTGTGTGTGTGTCTGTACTTATGTGCAAATAGGTGCAGTTGTTCAAGTCCAGAAAAGGGTATTGGATACCCCAGCCCTGGGATAACAGGCAGTTGTGAGCCTCCTGAAACAAGTGCTGGAAACTAACTTCATCCTCTCCAAGAGTAGTAGTAGTTGGTTGTAACTGCTGAGCCACCTCTCTAGCCCCCTTTAAACATGTTTTTGGTCTCTTCTTAATTGTTGTTATATATGTGTGTGTGTGTGCGTGCGCGCGCATTCCTAAATCGAACCTGCTCAGTAAGTACCTTTTGAGTCTTTAGTTTAATTACTATAATGTGGTCACTATTTTACATTAATCTTACCATTTTATTTTTGTTTTGTGACAAGATCTCACTATGTAGCTTTGGCTGCCCTGGAACTTAATATGTAGACCAAGCTGGACCCAAACTCACAGAGATCCTCCTGCCCCTGACTCCTGAGTGCTGGAACTAAAGGCATGTCCCACCATGCTCACTAATTTTATCATGTTTGCACACATAAAATATCCAACCATTTTGCTGCTGAAACACCAATTCTACCTTTGTCATTCTAAATGATTTCCTTGAGCTATTACTTCCAGAAAGTTTCATATGCAAAGTTTGTGGTCTGATAAAGACAGTGTACATTATCATTCATATGCTGAAGGTCCTATGTTAGGCAAGAAGATGGCTGAAATCAGATCCCTGACCTTGGTTAATGGTTTGTCCATGAGCTAACCAACCTTCACATTCAATGAGAAACAATGTTTAGAAATGCCATAGTACCTAATAGGAAATGGCTCTTCTGAATCCAAATGCATAATGAAATGAAGTCAGTGCAGCCATATGAGAAATTCAGTGTTTCTTGGTACCAAGGTCATTCTGACCTCCCTTCACACCACCACTTCAATCATAAGCATTGCCCACGTCACTCTGTATGTGCACTTACAAGCCGAACTGTATTGCTCTGTAAGTCACAAACACTGTTTTGCACTTACGGATGTGAATTAAAACTAAAGCTTCTTTCAGTTCTGCCTCTCGGATCACCTAACTAAAAGAAGTGTGCAACATGTGTGATTACCTATGTGACAGTCTATTTGTAATCTTAATGCCATCTTCCAAACCACTAATCAATCCATGTGCTTATTAAAAATGAAAATAGTATGATTACATAGCAAAGTAATAAAATATCACTTTTAAATTTTGGTTGTATTTAATATGTATAACTTATAAAATATATTTTTACCATATCAGTGAATAAGACATGTTTACTATAAGTTTAAAATATTTGGTTCCCAATGACTCATTAAAATATCAAGCAAAGGAAAATTATAGTTATCAAAGTTTTTCACCTGAATAGAAAAAGGAATTTCTTAAAAAGCAGCTTCAATTTTTACCATATTTTATTGATTACCTTGGTTTGTTTGGAGCAAGCTGTCGACTGGGCCGCCGGATGGACTGGTTTTGTTGTATTTTCATTGAGGTTCTAGGAGATGATCGAGCAAAAGGGTCTGGAGCTGGAGGCTTTTTAGGTATTTTTTTCACCAACCGACTAACCCACTTCTGCTGTTCTTCTGTTGAATTCGCTAATAACAACAGATTCTTTGCCGATGATATATCATAATAAACTATAAAAATAATAATTTGAAATGAATTAATGTGCTTAAAATGATCCAAGCCCAAGTAATAGCACAGCAAGAGCTTCCTAACTTACCTTTACAAGGTGCTATTATCTCTTCCTTTTTGTCCATGTGATCTTTATGACATTTAATGTGGCACCGACGACACTCTAGAGCAGGGGGAGGCTTGAACATGTGCCACAGCGGCTTCATACAGGCTTCACAGTTGGTTGGGAAGTGATAAAGAGTAGGAATAAACTCATGTCCTTTGTGGCAAATATAATTAGATTTTTCTCCCACTGGTTCCACTGGAAATTCTGGTTCCTTCTTACTTTCTCCTTCATTGGCATACAGAATCTATAAACACCAAGAGGACAGGAATGACTGTTACACACTAAAGATTTATTTTACGAATATTTTTCCTGCATGTATGTATGTGTACCATATATACGTCTGGTGTTTTCAGAAGTCAGAAAAGGGCATCAATCCCCTAAAAGTGCAATAGAGATGGTTGTGAGCCACCACAGGGGTACTGAGAACCAAAACCGGTCTTATTCTTAACTGCTGAGTCATCTCTCCAGGACCCACATTATGTTATTTTTATTATAAACTGATAAATTACTCATATTCTGATAAATCACTCAATGAGAGCAAAATGAAGTTGAAGTTCAAACCTAAGCAGATTTACCTGATGAAAGGTTTATGTAAGCCACAAGTATGGCTCACCAGAATGCATAAAAGCCTGAAACTGATTTTCCACTTCATGGGAAGACAGAGCTCATGTAAGAGACAGAGACTGTTGCTTTGCTTCACACTAAACAGGATCTCCTTATTTTTTATTTAGCATCTTTTATTTTGCTATAGCAAAACTATAAGAATAGGTCAACAAAAGGCAAATTTACACTTAATTAGGTAGGTTTTTCCTTCACTCCCGTGGGACCAAGTTTAGGGCTAGAAGTATAGTTTATTGGAAGGTCAAAGCTCTGTTTTCAGTCTTCCGTGTCCCTCCCTATCCAAACAAACAACAAAAGTCCAATATGAGAACTATACTAATTGTTGTTTATACTCCTGAATAATAGAAGAGTGGGTGGACTGTATGCACATTTTCATTTTACAAGTCTGGAGAGTAGAGGGATAAAAGAAAAAAAAGATATGCAAATAAATGCCCAAATAAAAGAGCATAAGCACTTGAGGGTGGGAGTAAAGACAGTAACTCCCTTAAGGTGGATTAGGCACCTTAAGGTAAAACAGTAGCTGGTTCTTCTTTTTGAGACAGAGTTTCTCTGTGAAGCCTTGGATGTCCTGGATTCACTTTGTAGACAGCCTGGCCTCGAATTCACAGATATCTGCCTGCCTCTGCTTCCTAAGAGTGCTGGGATTACAGTCGTGCAACACCACACTTGGCTGGGCACAGTTGTTTTTATACAGAACTTTAATAAATTTTTTAAAAGTGTGTATTTGTGTGTCTGTGCACAAGTGCCCATTGTGGTCAGAGGGGGCACTGGAACCTATAGAGCTGGAGTTAGAGGTGTCAGTGAGCCACCTGCTGTCAATGGTCATTTAATGGAACAGTAAAAGCTCTTTAACCACCTAGGCATCTATCTCTCCAGAAATTATGGTCTGGAAAAATTTTAAATGGAAACAATAAAAGGAAAAGCTTGGCCTCAGTTTAAATAAAAAGCAAAAGTGCCACAGCTTTCAACTTGTTACTTGACTTTTTAAAATTTCCAGAGTTAGAGAATAAAACCAAAACAGAAATAAGTTCACATTCTAAAAAACAACAGCCAATCTTGTACAATGGGTAGCAACAGCCAGAAGCACAGGAAAAACAACACCCAATTGTCCCAATTGGGGCTGGGACAGAAAAGTAATGCGACAAAGGCCGAGGCCAGTGAAGAAAGAAATCTAAAACATGTCACATGTGACCCTCTAACAGGGAAAAAAAACATGCAATATGTTTACCTGGAATATCCTTGGAATTTCTTTAGCATCTGCTCTGTATACATCTGTCTGGGTAACAGGTCGAACATGAAACAGCTTGCTATAGAAGATTTTTAAGTAAAGGAATAAGTAAAATATTAGCCAAGAATTATACTACATTGGTTATCTTGTACCAGATGCTAAAAAACAGCTACTTATTGACCCTAGAAATTCATAGACTCATTTGGTTTTTTTGTCTGTTTCTTTTTGTTATTGTTTTCAGACAGGGTCAATTTCTGTCTGAATAGCCAGGCAGTAGCCAATGTAGTTCTGGCTACTACTGTAGATCAGTCTGCCTCTCAAGTGCTGGGATTAAAGTCGTTAACCTGATGACTAGCTTTTTTTATTGTTTCGATAATTTTTAAGATAAAGAAAACTCAAGTTGAGCTTCTGTCAGAAAATCACGTATTAAAAAGCCATGAAATACAGATGTCTTCCACACCACACACTGCCAGCTGTCTATAAAGGAATTGAGAGGGAAACGGTCCACCAGTAGAGTGAGAGGGCACTGTAACTGTCATGATGGACAAAGTCCTAATCCTCTCGCTACACTGTAACCTAAGTCTGATACTTACTCTATGTCTAAAACCATGTAAGGGTTTGATTGCTCTTTATCTTGTTCGCTGTCATAGAAAAGAATCTTCTTGCTGCTCACAATCACATACTGTTAAAAAGAGGAAAAGAAGAAACTGAAATTACTATACACTGTGTTTATTTTCTTTTACAGGAAAATTTGTATTTGTGATAAAGTCATATGCTATGAAAGTAAATAAAAAGTACTAATGGTGCTTTAGGGAACTTTTACTTAAGGTAACAACAGACTTACTTATAGATTTTTATTTATTTTTCTGTAACAATGAAACTGAAACTAGATATATTTTAAGCTTTGGGATCTACATAAAAAGTGAATCTGCATCAGCCTAGTCAAAGTGAACAAGACATACACAGTAGCACAGTTCTGCTGCCCACTAGGACACCATAGCACCAGAACAGGCTTCTATAATGACCTCAAAACCTATTTCAGTAACAAACCATGGACAGTAAAATTTCTTCCACAGAGATAAACAAAATTGTATCAGTCCACATCAGAAAGTATAAACAGGTATTTTATGTCAGGAAGTGTAGGCACATTTACCCTACAACTCCAGAAGGAAAATGGCTAGAGTTAAACCAGAAGCCAAAGAAACCATATTCAAAAGCACTAATTACCTTTTTAACCCATCCAAACTTTTTAGTGTTGTTCCGCACAGGTAACGACAACCATCCTTCTAATCTTGATTCTGTAAGTAAGCATAATATATGAAGATAAATAAAATGATTCTCCCTGACAATGAGGAATTTATGAAACTTTTAATCAAATCTGCCCTTTACAATTTAGACCATATAGTACCCGGGCTACTGTAATAATGCACATTACACAGCGGAAAACAAAATCCAGGTCATATCACATTGGAAAGAAATACTCTGAATTATAACATCAAACACCACATTGATTAAATTCATGCACTGGCAAAATTCACAACACACGAGCACTGCGGTCTTTTCACTGCATGTCTACATCAAGCCCCTCATTCTTCCTGGAGAGCCCAAGCTGACTAGACATGTACTGTGCACTGTAGAGTAGAAAGTACTTTAAATGAGTGTGTTCAGAAAACAGGGAATTTTAGAATGGCTAATCTCACTGAGTAAAATACAGACCAAACTTGTTTAAGAAGCAACAGGAAAACCAAAATTTCTAAGCCCCAAAATATCAAAATCAGTAAAACTCATAATTAACAAAAGAGAGCATATTAACTCATTAACTACTGTGCAGATAAATTTGATCAGTATTTTTCAAATAAAATTGGCAGGGGGGATGCCATTCTAAGATAATATTCTAATAGTGCAAGTCATTACAGAGTTTAACTACTATGCCCCAACTGTACTTGATGCTTTATGTAAGTTCTCTAGGTCCTCACAGCTCCACACATAGAATTCCATCCCTCATGTAAATGAGAGAACTGGAATGCAGAGATCAGTGAGAACCTCTGTGAGTTTAAAAGACATACTCAGGACTCTCCATCATTTCACCTGTGAGTCTTTTTCAGTGTGTGACCCAGGCCAAACTGTTTCATGTGTTCTCTGAAGGCTTAGCACATTTGTGGACATGTATATACTCCATGAAAATTTGAACATGTTCTCTGAAACAGGTCACATGTTTTTGTTCTTTTCTGTACTGTCAAAAATATCTTTTCTTGATACAGAACTACAGAAAAGTTTTCTGAAAATAGATGAAGCCATGCACTTTCAAGGATTTGGAACATACTCCTTTGTTTCTGAAAAGTCAGCAAAAATCAAACAATCCAGCAAATACAAGCACAAGCTATTTGAAAAATACCTTAAAAGAAAATTATAGTTCATGCAGCAGTTTATTTTTACTGCATCTACACAGCATGTTGGAGTGAGTGGATGTTAGTTAATGCTGTAATTTTTTTTTCCCAAAAAGACAAAATTAAATAGCTGGGAGAACTGCAGAGACAGAAAGCTTTTCAGGATATCACCTGTACTAATAGGCTCCGATGAAATGGGTGAGTAAGGCAAAGAATCTTCTTCAGAGTCAGAGTCAAGAAGCATGTGTGAACTGGAGGGCTTAGTGGCAATATTGAGAGAGGTAGAGGAACGCTGGTAGGTGAAGGACATGGACTCCATAGTGTGTGACTGAGTGATATGGACTACACACCCGCAAATAAGAAAATGAGCAGAGAGAAGAAAAAATAAATAAAAGCTTAAAAGACAGACACTACATAATGAGTTAAACACCTAAACATTCAAATATATTTACTTGTTTGTTTTTAATGAAACAAGTCCAAATGTCATGTGACTCTAAGAAGTAGATTTTCACTTAAAGAAATGACAAACCTTTTTCTCAAGAGCAAAGTCAGTCATGGAACTTAAAAGCAATTACCTGACTTAAATTTAAGGCAAATGCAAGGGCTGCCCAAGAATGTGTACCTGGAAATCCATCGTCAGGCTCAGCATCCCCTGGTCCACTGCCTATACTGGAACTGTCCATACCAATATGCAAGGCCTGGAGCTGTGACCGCAGCTGTTCAATGTCACTATCTTTACTGTCCAGGGTCATTTGGAGTTCAATTCGAATTTGGCTCTCTTCAGCTATTTGCTGTAAAAAATGTATTAACAGATGAAATGTAGATTGTAATTGTGGGTCATGGTTTAGTAGTAATTTTAGTAGTAATTACTAATAGAAATGCTCCTCAGCCAAAGACAAAAAAAAAAAAAAAAAAGAAACATTGTTGTTTTTTTTTTTTTTTTTTTTTTTTTAAAATGTTTTCAATGTAAAAGAGCAATCTTACAGCCTGCATTTCATTCAGTTCTTTCTGGTATTTGATCATCTGTTGTGTCAATTTTTCACGCTCAGACTTAAGCTCCATATGTAGCTTTCTGTTCTCCTTCTCTTTTCTTCGCACATCTGTGTCACTACCACGCTTGACAGGTTCTTTTCGATTCATGATCTCTGCCAACTTATTCACAGCCTTAAGGAAATAAGCATAACATATATATTAAGCTATATTAATGTTTTCTCAGTAACTCACCATTATAAGCTACATAACCACCAGTAATTCCTTTCCTGTACACAGGGTTATAAAGGAACACTTCTGGGGTTGGGAAGATGGCTTAGTCAGAAAAGTGTCTGCTGTACAAGCACAAGGACCAGAGTTCAGATCCCCAGTACCCATATGTAAAGCCAGGCACACTGGTGCATGCCTCTAACCATAATGCCAGGGAGGTAGAGACAGAAGGATCCCTTAAGTTCACCGGTCAGCTACTCTTCACCAATTGTGATCTCTAGATTTGATGAGAGATCCTGTCTCAAAAAGTAAAGTGGAGAGGGGCTGGAGAGACGGCTCAATGGTTAAAACTGCTTTCTGTTTTTCTGGAAAAGCTGAGTTCAGTTCCCAGTACCTATGTAAGACACTTAGAACCACTTGTAACTTCAGCTCCAGTGGAACCAACACCCTCTGCTGGCTTCCATGGGCACACACATTAATGAAAAATCTTTTTTTTTATAAAGCAGAATAGTAATATAGGAAGATACCAGAAGCCAACATCTGGTCTCCACATGTATGCACATATGCACACTCTACATGTACATACACACATGAACATATTCACACATATGACACATGCACACACAAAATATTTTTTACCTTAAATAATATACTTCTATTAATATCCATTCTGTATTCTAAACAGTTTTTCATTCTCAGTTTTTGATAGTAGAAGCCTTTACTCACTGAGCTATCTCACCTACTTTCTCATGGTTTTTGAGAATGACTGTTTAAAGTGTTTACAGGGCTGTGAGTATAGCTTGCCTAGCATATGCCAGGCCCTGGATGTGTTCCCCATTGAACTATAGGATTGATCTGATATCATTTTCTACTACTATGTGAAATTTTAATAGGTAAATGTTCTTCCTATTCTGAAGAGTGAATTCTGCATTGGCACTAAAATGTACCCCGTCCAACAACAGAAAATATCCCTAGCACCCACATGTTTACACTACAACTACAACTGTGGAAGCTGGCAGAAGGGTGTCAGTAATCACACATGCCCTGTCAGATCATCTGATTCTTTTCAGGCTACTAGCAAATAATAAAAAGCTGAGAGAGAATGCAGGACACTTCCATACACATTAAGTCATTAAGTTTTTTTTAACTTGACCAAAAAAAAAAAAAAAAATCAGGATATTGCTCTAATAGTGATATTGTGATGAACACAAAGCTTCCACCCTGTAGAGCTAGAAAAGACAGGTGACTGGAATAAAAACAAAATTCAAAACCACATTTTCATTCTGATGACATACTTGAGTCTTTAGAGTTCTCTCAGTCAACAGCTGTTTCTCAAACTGTGCTTTAATAGCCGCTGCACTGATCTCTTCATCTTTCAACTTTGACAGTTCTGAAATAAACAAATATTAAAGTTACACCAGTAATGACAGCTACTAGGTATAACCACAATAAGCTTTTCCTCCTGCTAATACATACGCTCTTGAGTATCTTTCAGCTTGTTGTTTAATTCTTCTTTCTCATTTGCAAGATTTGCAACATCACTAGTTAGTGTCCTATTTGTTTCTTCAAGCTGAGAAAAAGAAGCAAGGGGAAAACTCATATCACTTTACAAAGTTTTAGTTGTCAAATAGTAATCCAAATTGAGACCAAACGACCATTTTCTCACACATTCACTTCACCTTGTTACCAAAACCAGCCTTATCCTTGATAAAAATGTTGCTCCCTCAAAACTTCATATGTAGCCCAAAAATCCTTAGCAGTTTTTGTTTTTAATAACAAAACCACTCAATAAATCAAGAAAAAGGAAAACAAAGGCTTGTGTTCCTATTATGCTGAACAATTTTTAAAACTGTAGTATTTCTTTCAGAATGTTATTTTAAAAGAAAAAAATGAGATTTTTGTTTAGTTTTGTTTGAGACAGGATCTCTCTGTGTAGATCTGACTGTCTTGGAACCCAATCTATAGATCAGGCTGATCTTAAATTCAGAGATCTGCCTTCCAATTGTTGGGATTAATGGCATGGGCCACCACCACCTGGCTCAAAATATGTGTTTTTATTGAAAAAGTTGAATCCTTTTTTCTATATTCCTTTCAGATTATATTCCTATCCTTTCTTCCTATAGTTTTACTATAAATTATGTTCCACTTTCCCACCAAATACTGAAAATTTCCATTATATAGACATGAAGTAATATATGTGATATTTTTTAAATTATGACTCACTTAATACACTAAAGAATTAAACTCACCAAGCATGGTAAGGCACACCTTTAATCCTAGCACTCAGGAGACAGAATAATCTGGTCTACATAGTAAGGCCCAGGTAGCCAGAGATACTGAGACTGAAGATGCTATGTGGGAACAGTGGTGAATGTTTCTAATTGCATCGTTTGGGAGGCAGGAAAAGAAATGTGAATTCTGGGTCATCTTGAGATCAAAATAAATAACAACAAAATGTGTTACCCTGCTGATATATATGAAGGTATATAAATTTCATTTAGATATAAATCATTTAGATCCAACTTCTGTTTACTTCTGTTTTCTACCATACTTAATGTATCTTCCAGCTTTGTTTGCTAAGACAGGGTTTCATGTATTCTAGACTGACCGCCACCTTGTTGTGTAACTCCTGACCCTCTTGCCTTCACCTTCCAAATGTTGGGACTACAGGCATGTACCTGTTATCCCTTCACCTGTTTTATTTTAATTAACTGTATAAGTGTTTTGCCTGAATGTATGTCTTTATAGCATGTGAGTGCAGTGCCCTCAGAGGCCAGAAGGGACATCAGACACTCTTGAACTGGAATGTAGTTATAAGAGAACTATGAGCTACCATGTGGGTCCAGGGAATCAAACCTGGGTCCTTTGGAAGAGTAGCCAGTGCTCTTAAGCACTGAGCCATCTCTCCATCCCTCACCAACTGTTTATCGATGGAGACATGTGAGGGTTTGCTATTTATAAGGATCATGTGGCTATAAACACAGTGCTAGTTTGTTTAGCACAGTTATCTTCGTGTGGACTTTCTTGGGGTTGTACTGCATACTTAAAATTTGCCAGAAACTGTCATATTGCTGACTATACTATACTTATCAATTTAAACTTAACACTCCATTTGTTGTAAAGAAAAATGCCATGTTCCAGACACTTGAACTTGTCAGGTTCTTATTTTCAGTGTGGAAAGGGTATGCAATGGTATCTTAAAGCTATGACATCCACCTGACCTTCTGATAGAGAACAGTTAAGTGAAGCATCTACTTACATATTTGAGCTGTCTCTTTTGGCCAGTTTTCTTCTAAATTGTTTCATCTACTTTACTGAATTACAGGTGTTCTGTATGTGTTATAGATTATCAATCCTCTGTTAAATATACACATTACAAATATCTTCTCTTTGTTATTTAGGCTGTCTTCTGTCACACAGTAATTTTAGGTCTGTCTGATAACTTAAAAGTTTTTTTTTTTTTTCACATTTGGTTCTTAAATTAGATACAATTTACTTAATTAGTAAGGATCAAGTGTATTCCCATTATTCTAAAACTGTATTTATTGTGCCTTCTCCCACTGGTTTTATATCACTATCTGCATGCATGAGGTTTTGTGTATGTACCTCCTTCTGTCGACTACTCACCCCCTTACCATGCGCGGCATTCAGCAGGTCTGCACAACTGACAGTGTAAGACCAACTGCTTTCTATTTTACTTTCTTTTGAAATGTACCTTTAGTTAGACTGTTACAGTCTGCTAATAAGTACAGTCATTTGAAATTTACAACTGACAGCTCCCAAATGTTTGAGATTTTATGAGACAGCAATTTAATTACAAATCCAAACACCAAGAATTTTACTTACAGAAGCAATTGTAGCATCCTTTTCAGTAAGTTCTTGTTTGTGTCTAGCCATCATCTCTTTGATCTCCAGTTCTTTCATGATCTTCTCTTTTTCCAAATCAGAGTATTGTTCCTCAGCAATGGAACGAGCCAGCTGCTCAGAATCTGCTTTGGTTAGAGTGATCTCCAGCTGGGCAGCCAAGGAGTCTCTGTATTTCGGAGATAGACGGATCATAGACGGCATATGGTATGGGAATGAACTCAGAGCCTATCATGTATTCTAAACACACAGCCTAAATAAGTGAAGTCTCAGATCCCTTGGAGATGGCATTTTAATAATAAATTTTCAATATGGAGTCAAAAGATTTGTCTATTTCATTTTTCATCAAATTTTTTACTTGGTAAAAAACGGACTTGGAACAGGGCACTTACATATGGACAAGGGATAAGGACCCTTCCTTACCTTTCATCCTGTAAATCCTGCTTCTTCTGTTGCAACTCTTTACAAAGTTTAGTCTTCTCTTCACTTTCTTCCTTAAGTTCTCTAACTTGTGTCTTATAGAGGGTCTAAGCAACAAAAAAGAAATGCACGTCCGTTATTACCAAAAATATGACTTATATTCAAACCCTCGCCAAGCAAAAACCTCAATTTATAGAAATATTTACTTAATGTTGGGCAATTTTGGGGTCCTGAGAAATGAGTAGTTTTGTGGCTTTCCCCTTTTCTAGTCACAAATTAAAAAACAAACATTTGACTAGTAGGCAAACTGTACAGTAGATTGCATATCCTACGTCTAGTCCCCAGCAAACTCAACCCCTAAAAGCAGCAGTTAATAATGTAAAAGTATTACTTTCAACAGGGTACCACAGCATAGTTAAATATACAGGTTGGTCAGATAAATGAAGAGATGGCAAATAATACTGCTGATTTTTCTATCTTTCTTTCAGTTGACAGATCAATGAAAGTACTACATAAAAATACTTCTTATTGCTGGGTGGAGGTAGCACATGTCTTTAATTCCAGCCACTGGGAAGCAAAGGCAAGTAGATCTCTTGAGTTCAAGGCCAGCCTGGCCTAGAGAATAAATTTCAGGACAGCAATGTTATACAGAGAAACACTGTCCCTAACAAAACAAAACAAAACCAAAACAACAACAACAACAACAAAAAAAAAAAAAAAAAAAGGGGGGGGGGGGGAGGGAAGAATATATTTCATCTTTTTAAAGTAGCCTCAAAAAATCCAGAAAGGTCAATATGACAATTATAAAAGCACATATTTGGGCTGGAGAGATGGCTCAGTGCTTAAGAGTACTGACTGCTCTTCTAGAGGACCAAGGTTCAATTCCTAGTACCCACAGCAGCTCACAACTGTTTTGTAACTCCAGGATCCAATACCCTCACACAGATATGTATGCAGGCAAAACACATAAAATTTAAAAATTATATATTTAAAACAAACAAACCTAAATGCATATTCTTCCAAAAGGTGATTCTTGTAACCAGCTTCACAGGCTGGTTAATAGCTATGCTTAGAATTATGTCAACAACAGCTGATTTCTTGTTTTGAGACAGTACCTTTTCTTTTGTTGTGGAGACTGCCCTTAATTTTGTGGGCTCAAGTGACCTCACCACCTCAGTCTGTATGGTAGTTGCAACTATAAGCACAAACCACCAAGCCAGATAAGGGATTTCTGTTAAACAATTTACAGCCTTTTATCAGTACTTTTTTCCCCCTTCTTTATGGTGCTGGGTATTGAACTCAGGACCTCCTTCATGCTACAAGTATTTTACCACTGAGTTACATCCCCAATCCCTGTTTGCTTTTTATGAGTTATGTAAGAACCCATCCATATCTGTCTGGTGTGGTGGTAAACTACTATAATCCTAGCACTCAGGTGTGAAGGCAGAAAGTTTGCAAACTAGAGACTAGCTAGATAGTGAAGCTGTTTAAAACACCCAAAACCAAAACAAGCAAGGGCAAACAACAAAAGCTATGCATTTTCCCCTCTTCTGACCTCCCAAGGTACCAGGCATGCATGCACTTATGTGCCTATATCCCAAATACAAATACACATAAAGTGAAATAAATATTTGTTTCAGTTAAAAGACAACCATTCTCTTGGTTCTGCAGAAAGTGCCTTACTGAGAAATACTGCTCAGCTTCAAGTTGGTCTTGCAGTTCCTTCATCTGCCCGTCTGCATCCTGCCGCTCTCTGTAAACACAGAAAGTCTTTGTTAGTAGCTTACATACATTTCAACCCAGCCACTTTGTAAAGTAAGAATGTCTGAAATCAAGTCATTTTCATGCTAGCACTAACTTCATCACTACCTTTTAAAACTCTCATCCCCACCAGGCCTGGTGGCAGAGCCTATAATCCCAGCAACTAGGAGCCTGAGGTGGGAGTGATCATGAGTTCAAAGCCAGCCTGGAAATTCTCACAAGACCACGCATGAGAAAACAAAACAAGAATCTAAACAACTGCAAGCCAGATGTGGTGAGTTATACCTCTAATCCTAGATCTCTAGAGGCTGAGGAAAAAGATTCCAGGAAGGCTGTGGCCAGCCAGGGATACATAGTGAGACTTTATAAACAGTAACAACAACAAAACACCAAAAAACACACATTAAAAAAAAAAAAACAAAACAAAAACTAATACCTATATACAGGCTTTTCCCAAGGCTACATCATGTCATTAATCCAACAGCTAATGCAATGTGTTATATTATTAGTTTTATTTTACATTCCTCTTGCTATATAAGCTGGCTCTTATTTCACACTCCCAAGTGTAATTAAAGGAATTATCACCACACACATCTTTCATTTTAAATAAATACCAATAACACACAAAAACTCCCAGAAACACTCCATCAAACTGTATGAACCAATTAACTTACTTTCGAAGTTCAGCATTTTGCTTTTCCAAGTTCATTTTCATTTCCATGAGATGATTATTTTCTTGTTTTATCTGCTTTTCTGACATTTTTAGGGTGTTAACTTGCTGGGTCTGCATCTTCAGGTCATTTTGCATAAGACAACGCTTCTGAGTTTCCTGCTCTATTTTTAATGTCAAGTTTCTAACCTAAAAAATAGGTAATAAAAAAAAATTACTTGACATTTAAGTGAATTACTTATTTTTCACAAGAATGATTTTCTTTCTTTCTCTCTCTCTCTCTCTTCTTTCTTTCTCTCCTTCCTTCCTTCCTTCCTTCCTTCCTTCCTTCCTTCCTTCCTTCCGTTTTTCAAAGATAGGTATAGCCCTGGCTGTCCTGGACTCACCTTGTAGACTAGGCTGGCTTCAAACTCACAGAGATCCGCTTGCCTCTGCCTCCCTGAGTGCTGGGATTACTGGCATGCGCTACCATGCCCAGCTCAAGAATGATTTTTTTATTCATCTCACATTAAAATACAGATAATTCTTCTAATATTTTTAAATAAAATATAATCTTTAAGGTGTAAGTATCTTAAACTTATTCAATAACTGATTTACTCTATCACCAAACTCCATTAAAGCCAATGTATACTACAGAATATTACAAGAAAAAAAGAAATAATGCAGTCACCATTAGACCTCCTACTAAAACTAGGTTTTACTGGCTCACTCATTTTACTTAGTATGAGTCACACTTACATCCTCATTTAACACATCTTTCTGCTTCAGTAGCTCGTTTAGCTTCTGCTGAGACTGCTTGAGGTCACAGTCCAGTATCGAGCATCTCTTCTCGGCCTCCAGGAGCAGGTTTTCCACTTTCTGTTTTAAAGTCCTTTCTTCCAACAGCTTCTTCTCCATTTCTATTACAGTAACAGTAGAGACAAAAATGAATTGAAATGTATTTTAATTAAGGGCAAGTGGTACTACCTTATAGTTATGTTTCTAACTAAATATTTTTATCATTTCAAATATATTTGAAATATGAATTTTAGCTTAAAAAATAGATGTCTTATTTGTAAAGTAGAAAACGCATCACACTACTTGTGATATCACATTTATTCTAATTTTAAAAAAAAGACATTTTGCCTTTGTTTCTCTATAAGACACTGGCATCTTTCAATAAACAGTGTGACTATTTTTACCTCAAGGCATCCAGGCAGATTCCATGACTTTTCTTTCCCTGTTAGTATATTATTATGCAGGTGTTGAAAACTATGTTTTGGGAGGTAGTAAGATTCAGGAATCAAACTTTCTGAGCTGACCCTGACACTTATTAATTATTTGAGAAGCTAAGTTAACTTCTCTTTCTTCAATTTCCTTCCATCTAGGAGAGTAACAGTATTTAACCTCCTGAATATGGCAAAAAGGTAAAAACACTGCCAGGTATTTGGCAGGTACTTCATTGGTGCTCACTAATGCTCACAGGGTTTTGTTTTTTGTTTTGTTTTTAAGAATTAGTAAAACGGTAGCGAAAACGGAGTAAATCTATAAAGTATTACGCTTATTTAGGATTGTAAATAATCTTCGCTTTTTTTGAGTTATACTTTCCTTCATTTTTCTAAATGATTTATAATAAACCTACAATCAGAAAAGCAACTCTTTAAAAGCACTTTTCATCTTTTTAAAAAATATTTATTTATTTATTATATGTGAGTGCTGTCTTCATACGCACTAGAAGAGAGAGAATCAGATCCCATTATAGATGGCTGTGAGCCACCATGTGGTTGCTTGGAATTGAACTCAAGACCTCTGGAAAAGCAGTCAGTGTCTCCTACTGCTGAGCCATCTCTTCGGCCCAAGCACTTTCATCTAAAGGTAATCAAGTGTATTCCTATGCAAGTAACTTCAATTTTAAATGCAAGTGTTTTAGTTCATATCCAAGTAGGATTCCTATGCCCTCTCATACCTACTGTTTAACATCCAACTATTAAGTACAAAACGTTGCATTATTTAAAAATTAAATCCATACATTTTAAAGGTATTTTTAAATTTTATTTTTTAAAGTGTACATGTGCTTGCATGTGTGTGGAGGCCTAAAGCTGATGTCAGATATTTTTCTTGTTTGCCCTCCAGTGATCATGCGGCAGGGTCTATGGGTCAATGTGGAACCCACTAATTTTGGTGCATCTAGCTAGTGAGCTTGCCCCAGGAATCACCTCTCTGCCTGGCTTTTACATGGGCTCATCCATGCACAGCAAGAACTTTATCCATCAAACCATCTCCCTGGCCAGAATTAAAAATATTTAATGAAGGGTTTTTAGAAGTGTGCACAGACAAATGAAACATTCTCTACATGCTACTAAGTAAACAGTATTCCTAATTATTTACATGTACACTTGATTTTCACAACCTAACAACACCATCATTATACCTTTACAGAGAACAAGTTATCAGCAAAGTTTAAGCAACTGGACAAGGTCATACTGATAATAATTACTTGTTCAAGCCACATTCTTAATCTATAGAGGTGGTAACATACAGTACAAAGAGCAAGAATTTTAGAACCAGGCTTAAATAAAATCTGTAATATTTAAGTGCCATATCTTTATATGTAAAATTATAAGCAAGTCATCACATATCATGTATTAATGTTCCAAGTAACCATCAGAAACAAAGAAGTTATATTACATTAAATTGATTCATTTTTGTCAGTTTCAAAAATGATCAACAAATAAATAAATGCATTCACTTATTCAATAAATAAATAAATAAAAATATTCGCTGAGTGGTGATGGCACATGCCTTTAATCCCATCACTCAGGAGGAAGAGGCAGGTGGATCTCTTGAGTTCAAGGGCAGCCTGATCTACAGAGAGTTCCAGGACAGCCAGGGCTACACAGAGAAACACTGTCTAAAAACAAACAAACAAACATTTTTTTAAAAATCACATAATATTGGTGCAGATAGAAGGAAACACAAGAAAGCTCACTGAGGAGGTAGATACAGTCTACAGCTTTGGTAGTAGCTACATGATTGTAACACAAACATCAAAAGTGTTTACATTTCATTGCATATAAATTACACTTCAAAATTTAACTCTCTTCTAGGTTATAGACAAGAAATACACTGTTCATCAACTTAATCTCTTCAGACTATACATTTCTAAATAAAGTACCTTATTCCTCTTTTGTTCTCAAAGAGTCGCAACTGTAAGCCTAGCTGAGACCCACCTGCCTCTGCTTGGGATTAAAGACGTTCACTATTGTTCATGACTTGTTTCATTTCTTATCATCCTCAGTCAGTGCTTTAAGGTAAATTAGTTGGAATAAGAAAATCTAAATGTTAATTTTACTTAAAGACTAAAAGGCTACTTCTTGCAAAGCTAGTCATAATATCATGCCTCAATAAGAAATAAAATTTCTGTTCCAGAGTTGGACACAAATATTTTCAAGAACTGATTATTTCTGTGATTTCAAATCTATTTTAATAATACATAGTGAGGAAACAAACTATGCCAAGACAACTCTAAAACAACGACTGGTTTGTGGAAGCTTATTTGGGGAACTATTAGTATGACATGCCTTTAATAAAATCTGACTGGCATCTTTACTATGTCAGTGTGCAAATTACTCAGTGAGCTACTACTGAGTCCAGCTGGACTAGCTACTACATAAGTTCTTGTCTTATATAACTATTAATAATTTTTCAACACAGCTGGAGAAGTGTCAAACTATAGTAAATATATGTCAAAGAACATATCTCCCAAATCAGTAGATATAAAACACCACACTGCACACCTTTCACCATTAATGCCACTGAAATATCACTTTCTTTCAGATCTAAAATTATGGTAGAGAAATTCTGTATTTAGAAATTTTCGTAATGAAGCAAAGGTTAAAAAAAAAAAAAAAAAGACCAATACAAATCAAAAGGACCCTGAGATTTCACCTTACACCCAACAGAATGGCTAAGATCAAAAAGTCAAGCACATTCTGGAGGACGTGGAGAAAGGGGATCCCTCCTCCATTGCTGGTAGGAGTGCAAACTTCTACAACCACTTTGGAAATCAATCTGGTGCTTTCTCAGACAATTAGGAATAGCGCTTCCTCAAGATCCAATTATACCACTCCTAGGCATATATCCAAAATATGCTCAAGTATACAACAAGAGCATTTGCTCAACCATGTTCGTAGCAGCTTTGTTCATAACAGCCAGAATCTGGAAACAACTCAGATGTCCCTCAACTGAGGAATGGATGCAGAAATTGTGGTACATTTACACAATGGCATACTACTCAGTAATTAAAAACAAGAAAATCATGAAATTTTCAGGCAAATGGTGGGATCTAGAAAAGATCATCCTAAGTGAGGTATCCCAGAAGCAGAAAGACACACATGGTATATACTCACTTAATAAGTGGATATTAGACATATAATATAGGATAAAGATACTGAAATCTGTACATCTGAAGAAACTAAGCAAGAAGGAGGGCCCTGGGTAAGAGATCAGTCCTCATTCAGAAAGGTAAATGGGATGGATACCCGAAAAGGAAAAAAAAACAGGAAAGAGGACAGGATCCTATCACAGAGGGCCTCTGAAAGACTATACCCAGTAGGATATCAAAGCAGATGCTGAGACTCATAGACAAATTTTGGGCAGAGTGCAGGGAATATTATGAAAAAAGGGGGAAATAAGACATGGAAAGGACAGGAGCTCTACAAGGAGAGCAACAGAACCAAAATATCTGGGCATGGGGGTCTTTTCTGAGACTGATATTCCAACCAAGGACAATGCATGGAGATAACCTAGAACCCCTGCTCAGATGTAGCCTATGGCAGCTCAGTGTCCAAGTGGAACGGGGACAAGTAAGGGGAACAGGGGCTATCTCTGACATGAACCCAGTGTCTACCTCTTTGATCACCTCCTTTTGAGGGGAGAGCAGCCTTACCACGCCACAAAGGAAGACAATGCAGCCAGTCCTGATGAGACCTGATAGGCTAGGGTAAGATGGAAGAGGAGGAGGACTTCCCCAATCAGTGGACTGGGGGAGGGGCATGGGAGTAGAAGAGGGAAGAAGGTTCGGAATGGAAGTGGATGCGAAAGGGGGCTACAGCTGGAATACAAAATGAATAAATTGTAATTAATTTAAAAAAAATACATATATAAAGTTTCCCTAATAACTTTCTTCCTTTCTGTTCCCAAGACTTGTCAATAAAAATAAATATTTTGTAAAGACTGACTCTAGAATTAACTCTTGGAAAATGTTGCTGGAATACTCCTCACAATGCATACCTTTCATGGCTTCTGATTTCGCTTCTTCAATGGTTTCATAGATCTTATTTTTATCTGCTAGTCGTGCTTTTGTGGTCTTGTGTTCAGCTTCTTCTTGTTCTAAACTCTGCTGTATTACTTTCAGTTGATACGTCATATCTATTTCCATGTTGCTCTTTTCCTACGAAACATTTCCAATGGTAACTAGTCACAGAATTTCAAAAACTTTTAAAATACTTTTAAATAGTCTCACTATGAATGTTCAGTATTTTCCTTTCCTTTTTTTCTCCAAGTTTCTTATAAAAGTTACCAATGGACTTTACCACCCATCTACTCTGTTGTTTTGAGATCTGAATTGAACCTATTAATTCCAGCAAAAGACTACAGTGCTATTCTCACCATTCAGTATTTCTCCACCTCTCTTATTCTATTTCTCCATCTGCAACCCTGACACTATCTACTGATGCTCTTGACACTATATCCCTACTCTCAACTTCCTGTCACCTCTGAAGGTTCCCAGCTATCTCTAATTTTACTTTTTTTAAAAAAAAATTACTTATTTTGGCTGGAGAGATGGTTCAGAGGTTAAGAGCGATGGATGTTCTTCCAAAGGTCCTGAGTTCAATCCACAGCAACACAAGGTAGCTTTTAACCATCTATATTGAAATCTGGTGCCTTCTGGCCAGATTCTACAGGCACACATGAAGGCAAAATACTGTATAAATAATAAATAAATAAATCTTAAAAGAAAAAATACTTGTTTTAAGTGAGTATGTGTGTGTGTCTATGTATGTACGTGTACTACATGGGTGCCTGGTACCCATATAAGTCAGAAAAGGGTGACAGATTGTGAGCCAGTTTGTGAGTGCTGGGAACCATACCTGGGTCCTCTGAAAGAACAAGTGCTCTTAACTGATGAGCCCTCTCTCCAGCTGCAAGATGCTGCTATTCTTTAGTCACAAAGTTTCCCTTCCTGAAGTATTATTTTTCAAACTTTAAAAATGTTATCTAATGGCCAGTTGTGATGGCCAGACCTTTAATTCCAGCACTCAGGAGGCAAAGGCAGACAGATCTCTGAAAATTTGAGGCCAGCCTGGCCTACACAGTAAGACTGTCTCAAACAAACAAAAAGTGGTGTTTCAAATCTAGCTATATTCAACAACAACAAAACCTCAAGATGTCCTACTACCCAATTAGTAGGTATTTTTCTGTGATGCTGGCGATTGAACTCAGGGTCTTAAACATGCTAAGCAAGCACTGTACCACTGAGCTACATGACCAACCAGACATGTTTTAAGTTTGAAAGTCTTAGATAAAAGAAGTCAAGTCTATATTCTACATGTGCCCCAGGATTTAGAACACAGACCACATGGCAAACAAAACCTCAAGTATTCATAATCTGACCCTTAAAGGTTAGTTTGCTGACCCAGACAACATACTTCAGAAATACTAAAACAAGCAAATCCAACCACTGGTGTTCTCTATCCTCAGCTCTGTTCAAGTGGCTATCCTCAAGGCAGAGTGTACATCTTTTCCTGTCTACCTCTGATCTATCATTCTCTACACCTGAAAGGCCTACTGTGTCCAAACAGCTGGCATTTTGTTTGCATACAATGCATTGAAATTACCTAGGGGCTTTATTATTACTTTTCTTTTTGTTGACCCAAAGATTCCCCAGGTAGCTCCTGGCTAGCCTTTAACTCAGAGATTCACCTGCCTCTGTCTCCTGAGAGCTGGGATCAAAGTTTGTGTCCCCACGGTCCCCTATCAGACTATTTCTACTACAGAAAGCACTAAATATTCAGCTCAATGAATAAACAAATGGAAATAAAATATTAACTGGAAATAATCCCTGGATCCACAGTATAAAAAAAAAAAAAAAACTATGAATGTCACAAGTCATATTTTAATTTTGTATTATATTAATTTTTAAGATATTCCAGTCAACTTTTGAATTATTCTATGCTGTATAAAATTCTGAAAGAATAAAATATTTATCTTAATGAGTCCTAATTTCCTCTGGGTTTCTAAAAGAGCAACATCGTTATATACGCCAAGTTCCTTCTTCACGTAGCCCAGCATACCAAGGGTTGCCTCTGTTAAAGTTTACAGTCCTTGCTTGCGCAGTCAAGTCCAAGCAGAAAAAAGTCCATGTATATATAAAAATATTCTACCTAGTGAAGGATTACTTCACTGTCCCATATTTTGGTAACTTTCTCATGTAAAGTTGCACTGTGCTTCTCTTGCCACAAGCGCAGCACACCGTATTTACCTTCTCTAAGTCAGTGAGCTGCTCCTGCAGCTGTCTCTTCTCCACCTCTACTTTTGCCAGTAAGGCTTTGCTAGTCTTCAAATCTTCCTCCAGCCCAGATATCCTACCTAAAAATTAAAAAAAAAAAAACACCGTTGAAAACAACATATTCAAAATGCATTCAATTAAGAGTTAAAATTATCTACCTCATATTTTAGAGTTCCTATTTGTGAGCAAGTTTTTATAATCTGTCAGAAGATTACTTTAAAGTTAATTTAGCCAGAACTCAGTTGACAGAAGAAATCTAGGAGATACTAATTAAAAGCACATTTTTTTTTGTTCACAAATTCTATCAATATACTTGTAATGTCTAATTTTGTTTTGTAATTTTTTTTTTAAATTATGTGTCTGTGTTCGTGTCTGAGGATAAGTTCATGTATGTAATGCAGCGTCAAAGGAAGTCAGAAGAGGGGTTGGAATCCCTGAAGTTACAGGCAGTTGTAAGCCTCCTGCTAGAAATGCTAGGAACTGAACTTCCTAGCAATATGTGCTCTTATACGGCAACAGTCTGTCTCTCCAGCCCAGTCTCTACCTTCACTAACAGAATACCACATTAAAAAAATAAAACAAACCAGTGGTGGTTGCACACCTTTAATACCAGGCATAAGCAGGGAATTCATCTAAGAGTTCGAGGCCAGACTAGTCTACAGAGCAAGTTCAGGACGTCTGGGTCTATGTAGAGAAACCCTGTCTTGAAAAACAAACAAAAACACCACAAAACAAACAGAATAAAGGACAAACCCCTAAACCCAGGTTACTGCAATGCATTATCCATCTAAAGTTATTTCAAAATTATAAATTATCAAAATCAAATCAGTACAATCATTACTTTCATACCTTGTAAATCATTAATTATCTCTGATCCATGGGTCCGGTCCCTTCTTTCAGATTCTAGAGCTGACTGAAGATTGATAAATTCCTTTTCAAGTTTTAACTTGGCAGTCTCAAGCAGGCAGTTTTTATCTTGTAGATCTCTATTGTTAGATTCCAGCTGTTGAATCTGTTTGGAACTTTCTGCCTGGGTTTTTCTTAACCGTGCTGCAGTATCAGACTCTGTTCTCAGCAAAGCATTAACTTCATCCAGCTGTTATCCAATTCATAAGCAAGCAGATAACCACAATGCAACGTAATGAAAATACATCAATTTATTATCTTGTTACAAGCTATTTAAATAAGAAACTCTATTTTCCCAGGCATTACCCCTTTAATTATTATCGCTAACAGCTTTAGCAACACTGCAATTACAATCAGTATTAACAGGCAAGGATAAACCCATCACTTTCCACACACAGACCAACCTACTTGTTTCTGGAGCTGATTGACCTTCTCAGTGGATATCTGAGAGCTCTGGTTCCTTTTCTTCAAATCTTCAAGTTGATCTTTTAAGCTGTTAACTATGAAACAAAGCATTTTAGCAGAAAGCCTCAATATAACATACACTTAATGTTTTTCTTCTTATATATTTATTATTCTATATCACAAACCATCATTTTCCAAATTCCGTTTCTTGTCAGCTTCATGATCAGCTTTTCGTTGATATTCTGCATTTTTATGTTGAAGAAGGGCCTTTTCTCTTTCCAACTGTCTCAGGGCTGATTCCACATTTTTTCTAAAGGTAATCTGAAATAAGTTAACATTATTGTCAAAAGGAAATACGGAAAGAAATCAGTCAAATACTGTCAGTAATATCAAACACATTTTTTTTAAAAAAAGACTTAAAAGACTATCATTGTTTTGTTAAAATTTTAGTGTTCTTCATGTTTGCAAATTTAATTTATTACAGTCAAGCTTTCTGGAACTTTCTATCACTAACGAAACATCATTTCAATCATCATATAAAAACAAGATTTTAAAAATTAATTTTTACATTAGCATACAAAGTAATGGTTTTATTATGGCATTTTCATACATATATACCATCACAATGTTTTTAAATCTTGAAATACCTGTACAAACTAAATTAACTCAAATTGGCAAAACAAATCTAGGTAACAAAAGATACCCTATAATAATTTCCATCTTGTTCACCTATGACACAGGTAAGTTTTACCAATATGTATTGCATGGTACTCTGTAGCTAAAAGGGTTTCAAAGATTTTTACTAACAGAAATGTTATAAAGTACAGGAAATTTTTACCTCTTCTTCTAGCTCCTTTGCTGTTTTCTCTAGGCGAGTACTAATAGATCTAAAAATTTTTAGAAAGAAACAGTAAATAAAATAATCCTAATTTACAAAAGCATAGTGTATTAGTTGAAGAAGTATTTATATAGTCAATTTGTGCTTTTCATTTTCAGTATTGTGTTTAAGCTTCAACTTTAAAATGTACTGCTCGGCAGCATACTTGCACTTCTGTTCCAGCTCCTCCTTGGCTTGCACCTCACTGCTAAGGTGTTCTTCTAGTGCATATAATTTTTTCTGAATCTGTCAAAAAAAAAAAAAATAAGAAGTTGTAAGTTTTGGTCATAAAGATAAGAGGCTTAAAGAAAACAATGATTCTATTTTGCCTTTCCTACTTACTAGATCTCTCAGTAAGAATATGGGATTTGTACCTGCTTGGTATGACTCTGACTTAGAGCTCCCTCGCCTCCTGCTCTCTCCTTCACAGTATATATATATATATATATATATATATATATACAAACACATTTATAGGAATATATTCTTCTGTGATTTCCTACACAGCGATAGGAACACTACTACCAGGGATTAAATAAATCCTGAGTAGACAGCTAATAGTTTCAAATCCTTTTAAGCTATGTTTTAAAGCAAGTTAAAATGATAAAAAAAAAAAAAGAATTAAATAATACTACATCATTTAAAATACTGCCCTACATGAATTAACAAGTTTTGTCCCATTAACAGGAACAAAATACGTAAGACAATGTCTTCTAGGTGTATTGGCACATGCCTTTAAACCACTCAGGAGGCAGAGGAAGGAGGATCTCTGGGAATTCAAGGCCAGCTTGCTCTATATACTGAGCTCCACGGCTCAAAATAACAACAACAATGGCAGTAATATTATATACATTTGATTAACTGAAATTTAAAGAGTAAATACTGTCAGGCCAAGGCAAAAATGATACACCAAAGTTCTAATGAGTTTGTTTCTTAAATATTAAATTCATCTTTAAAACAACAACAAACAAACAGAAACCTCCTCTATTGTTTCAAAACAACTATAGGCTAGGAGCCAGGGAGATGACTCAGCCAGTAAGATGCTTACTGCACAAGCACGAGGGACTGAGTAACATACACACGAAGTCCAGTTATGTTAACCCCCAGCACTAAAGCTAAAGCTGGTAGAGGCCAACCTGGCCTGGATGTTAAGCTTCAGGTTAGATAGGCCTACAAAGCGAAACTCGTCTCCAAAACAAAATAAAACACCAACCAAATAAAACAACAAAATCAAGTTTGAGTCTCTAACTCCAGTGCTGAGGGAGTGGGAGTTTGAAGGAAAAGTGCAGCAGAGACTGGCAAATCCCTGGGGCTCACTGGCCAGCAAGTCTGGACTAATCTCTGTATTCCAGATACACTGTGACACTTTCTAAAAAAACAAAACAAAACAAACATGTAGAGTTTTCAGGAAAATACTGACAACTGGCTTCCACACATGTGTACATATAAACACATCCAATCACAACTGCACACACTAAACTTGTAAGTAAATAAAGTCAACTAACTTTTTTTGTTGTTGTTGTTCAAACTAGCGTTTCTTTGTGGAGCTCTGACTGAACTGACTGTCCTGGAACTCGCTCTGTAGACCAGGCTGGCTTCCAACTCACAAAGATTCTCCTACCTCTACCTCTCAAGTGCTGGGATCAAAGGCATGCACCACCACAGCCAGGCTGAGTCAACTATCTTTATCCTTCTCCATATATGTGTACACACAAAGAGAGAAAGAGAGAGAGAGAGAGAGAGAGAGAGCGCGCGAGCACAAATGACTTTCAAACAATAGGACTTTAAAAAAAATATAAGCTCATGAGCTAGTCAAGATAAGTACTTTTAGGTGCTGCAATACTATGAACATACATGTCCTTGATAAATAAAAACAAAAATTACATAATTCATATTTTAAACAATAGATTCATAAGAAAAATAGTAAAAGGGTACTTGATAGGAAAAAGGATGGGAAGTCTCTTGAGTAGATGCAGTACTTCAAGTGGGAAGCAGACTATGATTAGAGTAAAACATGACTGTTTCTCCTTTTCAGTGTATTTGACACGTACCTCCTGACTTTCCTAGTTAAAAAAAAATACAAAACACATTTTAATGCTTGTTATATTTAATAAAAGACCTATGATGTATATCATTCCAAAATTATCCAACACGTTTTCTACCTTTTGTTACATTTGAAGAAAAAACAGCATTATAACTTTCACCTGTATGTGTATGATTTAGCTTTGTAAGCAGTCACAAGATATTTTGGTATATGTGCTGCTGAAGTGAGAACAGTCACAAAATACTTTAACACTTCAATAAACTGTTCTTTATATGAATACACCGGTAAGCAGAAGCGCAGTTTTGAGTCTGCCCTACTGCTGTGCCCCACTGCTTATACTCTTTTAAAGCCCTGAGATCATACGTCTTCTAACTGGTATTGCAGCTGTTAAATCTATCACTCTTGCTAATGAACAAAGCTGAAAGCACATATTCACATAATTAATCACTTCAACGTTGTGCTACAGACACAGCACTTTATACTCTAAGAATGGTATTGCATGAGTAATAAAGAAATACCAAGTACATGGCTAAAAACTAGTGTTATGATGGGGTGAGAGAGATGGTCCAGTCATTAAGAGCACTGGCTGCTCTGCAAAGGAACTAGATTCCATTCCCTCTTCTGACCTTGCTGACACTGCATGTGAACAGACATAAATACAGGCAAAACACTTGTATACAAAAATAGAGATAATTAAAAAAAAAATCAATGGCATGAGTACTGAACATGTGACTAAAGTAGAAAACACAGTAAAAATATATACATACTTCACTTTTCCTTGTTTGTATTGCATCATTTTCTCTACAAGATGGAGAGTCACTTAATAACCTGGAAGAACAGAAGAAATGCTTTTCATTTGTCTTATATAATCAAATCTCTTTAAGATCTTACTTGAACATACTAAGTGAAGCACTTACTCTGCTGCTGGGCAGTCAGTCACACCCCTCAGCCTTCTCCACAGAAGGCACCCAGCCTTAACTTCATTAGGACTAGAGTCACAACATGGACCCCTTGATTCCACTTGAGTTTCTACAATGATCATATTCTATCGTTTCTCTTAGAAAAGAACATCTCCTCTTTTTTGCAAAGATAACATATGAGCTCGATGTTAAAATTTATACATTGTCTTTTCAAAATATTTAATTTTTTACACTCATTTATTGGGTGTGTTCACGTACACAAAGGCCAAGAGATACATGCAGAGGTCAGAAGATAAGTTGTGGGAACTGGTTCTCTCTTTTCACCATGTGGGTCATCAGACTTAGCAGCAAGGGCCTTACCTAGTGGGCCATCTTGTCAGCCCTTAAGGCATCATTTTGATATTACTGTCAATTTCTTTTTCAGTTGTGTCCTTCCCACCATCTATAAACATGGATAAGTTTCTTTCATCCATGACTTTTAAAAAAACATATATTCTTTATGTGTATAGGTATTTTGCCTAAATATTAGTCCGTGCACCATATGCATACCTGGTGCCCATGGAGGCCAGAAAAGGGCATCAGATCCCCTGGAACTGGAATTACAGATGGTGGTGAGCTGCCATGTGGCTGCTGGAAATCAAACCTGGGTCGCCTGGAAGAGCAACCAGTGCTCTTAACCATTGAGCCATCCCTTCAGGACAATACCCTTATTTTGTTCAGCACTCAAAACAGTTTTAGAATATTATCACTATTAGGAAGGTGACTAATCCATCTTCATTTGCCTGAGCTTTTTCTAGTTTCGTTTTTCTAGTTTCGTTATCTCATTCTAGGAAACACCCAAACCTGGGCAAATTGTGACACCTGGTCATTCTCATCATTACATCTGAGTGTACCAGGAAGTTTCTCAAACACTTTTAACATCTTATCCCAATATTTAACAGTTTTCAGTGGTTCCTCCTTGGTTGCCAGTCAAAAATCCCTTACAGAGCATCCACTGAGATAATCTGTTTAAAGGCAAATCACATTCTACCTTTTTTACAATTCTGTGATTCACAAGATAACAAACTCAAAGTATTTGTTCTTACTGTATATCTTCAAACGAATATATGACAGTGCCTTTCAATCATTTGTAAATAAATAAAATGTAACATTCAAATATCAAATAAAAAATAAAATTAAAAGTAGTTTAGACAGTCCATTAGGAAAAAAAAATCTGACAGCTAGGCTATTATAACAATAACACTTAACAAATAAAATCACATACAAATTTTCTCTAAAGTAGGTAAATCCTATAAAAGGCAGCTGATTTCCCACAAACGCTTTAGGGATCGGGAAGGTCTCTACATCGCCTTTATCATCCTCAATGTCATCAAAGTTGCTGCTGTCTATGTCACTGCTGAGTTCAGGCACCACTGGAGCTGCCGCTGCAAGGAAGAAAATATTATTTCACTCATAGCCAAAATAAAAGATCAACTCATTTTTACGATAACATATTTTATACAAAAACCTAGCAACTGATCTTCTATTCAACATTTCCTAAAACTAAAACTTTATACGTAGTTTATTACTATATTAGGTCAGTTTTAAATATGGGTTAATATATCAAACAAGGAAGGCCAATTATATCACTCTAGAAGCTAAAAATTACAAGTAGCAATAATATATATATATATATATATATATTAGAGAATTCTCATTTTCTACATTTTTAAAGCAGAAATATTCTTAAAATGAATCAACATAATATATACATAAAGTAAATTACTATGATTTATCAGAGTGCAGTCTCAACAAATAACTATTAATTTATTAACTTAGGTACTCAAGTTAGAGGATAATATTCCATTACTGAGATACACAAAACTGCAAAATTAAGAAATGCATACTATCTATTACAAAAAGAATTGAGAAATGTTGCTTTTAAAAAAAATGCATACTGGGGCTGGAGAGATGGCTCAGAGGTTAGGAGCACTGACTGCTCCTCCAGAAATCCTGAGTTCAATTCCCAGCAACCACATGGTGGCTCACAACCATTTATGAGATCTGGTGCCCTCTTCTGGCATGCAGGTATACATGCAGGCAGAACATTGTATACATAATAAATTTTAAAAAAATGCATACTGGGCTGTAGACATGGCTCAGCATTTAAGAGCACTGTCTGCTCTTCCACGGGTCCTGAGTTCAATTCCCAGCAACCACATCTCACAATCATGTGCTTTATACTGGGATCTAATGCCCTCTTCTGGCATGGAGGTATATATGCAGATAGAGCACTCACACATAAAAAAATAAAATAAAATAAATCCTTTAAAAGATCTCTCAATTTAAAATGAGTTATCATACACTCTATCACACATGTCTGCTGTTTCAGAAGAGGAAATGAATTTATAAGATCCAAAATGTGATGAAACGGAAACACTCTGACTGCGTGACTTACTCTCTCTTATGTTATCCCAATTCCACTGGTCATTCTTAAAGAAAGGATGCTGCTTGATTTCTTCTACCCCATTTCTTCCAAGTCGTACCTCCCTAAACAATGCAGTTAAAAAATACATTATGAAAAATAAAGAGTATTAATTTTTAATACTATCACCAAAACAAGGATCATAAATTGAAATATTTTTATGAAGAGTTTCAGCTTAAATGCTTTTCAAATATAAGCTATGTGTCTGACATTTGGACAGATGAAGAGACATAATGATGTGTGGATGCATAGTAAACTTTGTGGGAAATAAATTCTACTTCTATTATCTTTCTGTTGTGAATCAGAAGTACAAAATTTCCAGGTAAAAAAAACTCCCTCTCAATATACCAAATTGCATGACCCACTTGACAAAGATTTACTTCAGGCTGCTCTCATAGAAGCACCATTTAAAAATCCCTTTCCTGTTCTTAAAAAACTCAGATATGAAGTTTGAACTATCCCTATTTACTACTAGAAGCTCTTTCTCCATTTATATATCCTGAACGCTGGGATTACAGATGTGCACCATGTGCTCACGTTGGCAGCACGTATACTAAAGATGTGCACCACCACACCTGAGTCACCACCCCTAACTTTAAAGTTTTTAAGATTATAAATTACCAACTATTTATCTATAGAAACTGCTGGCCTCTCAAAAGTTATATAATCAAGAATTATATGGATTACTACATAAAGGGGCAAAATGGGTAATGTAAATTTTATCATTCAAATATAGTCATTTGCTAACTCATCTCTGTACTTTTGTAGACACAGGATTGATGTACAACTTAGATTATAAATGGGATGTAGACACAAAACAATGAAGGCAACCCAATGCCAGGCTGGAGCATGGGGCTAAACCAGAATGAAATGCAAATAGTGTAACAAGAGAGGCTGACTTCATATTCACACAAGGCAAGCATGTTTTTACTTCTGCAGATTTTAAAAGTGAAAGGGTTTCTCTCTGTGTGTACACTACCTGTCTGTTAAGAAGGCACATATAAGATTCTTTGCATGTTTAGAAATTTCTGTATCTTCAGGGAAACAAAGTGAATTTTTATGATCCATAATTTTGCTGTAGGTTCCTACAAGTGAATCTGCGTAAAATGGAGTGTCCCCTAAGTTTAAAAAAAAAAATAGTAATGATTAGAATACAGAATTCAAATTTAACTTTTTATATAGCATTTAAATATCTTAGGCTTAAATATTATCTTTCATGAAAGAGCAACTGGCCTATATGCCAAGAATCACAGTGAAAATGAACAGACATATACAAATACACTTAAAATGTAATCACACCAAAGACCTTCTACCCTTAAAAAAAACTTTGCCTTTGAGTTTTCTCTAATTGAAATATTAAATCTTGGGATCAGGCATGATGGCATATGCCTTAAATCCCAGCACTCAGGAAGCAGAGGCAGGCAGATCTCTGTTTGAGTGCCAGGACAGTCAGAGCTACATAGTGAGACCCTGTCTTAAATTAAACAAACACACAAACAAAAAATTTATATCTTAACATTCTAATTGAAAATAACAATGTGATTCATCTCACTGCAATGGTGAACACCTTTAATACCAGCACTCCAGAGGCAGAGGCAGCTGTATCTTTTATAGATTCCAGAACAGCCTGGTCTACATAACAAGACTGTCTCAAAAGAATAAAGAAAAAAGTGTGGAGGGGGGTGGGAGCAGACAAAGAAGAAGGAAAACAAGAGAAAAGAAGAGGGGAAAGAGTATATATTTGTTTCTGTGTTCAGTTCAGGGCAGTCAAGCCTTCATAGAGAGATCCTGTCTCTAACAAACAAAAAGCCCAAAACATTACATGAACTAAAGAACAGTTTCAGTGCTCTCTAACTACTGGAACAAATATTAAAATTTACTTAAATATTTACTCAACCCTTTAAAATATTTACAATAAATAAGATTATTAAGAAATCTTGGGAGCAATTAATGTCTTAGCGGTTAAAAGCATGCAGTGCTCTTATAAAGGGCCAAAATTCTGTTCCCAGCACCTGTGCCAGGTGCTCACAACCAACTGTAACTCCAACTCCAGGGGATTCAATGCCCTTCTGTGTCTTCTTTAGGCACTTGTGACACATGCATACAAAATAAGTAAATAAGTAAATCTTTAGAAACAACAACCTTGCCATCTATGGGGGCTGGGACAATAAAGGGGCTCAGCAGTTGAGAGCATCTGCTGCTAACACTTCTAGAGTTTGGGTCCCAGCACCTATGCCATGAAACTCACAGTTCTGTAGAACTCCAGCTCAGCTCCAGGGGAGCTGATTAAAAAGATTAGTGGAGGTCTAAAAAAAGCTGTGAATTTGCTCTTGCTCTAATATTACCTTAATTTAAAAAGATCTAGTGATGAGCAGTGGCACATCTGCAATCTCAGCATACAAGAGGCTGAAGCAGGAGATTATGAGTTTGAGGGCAGCATCAGCTATATGAAAACACTTAGAAAAATAAGAAAAGGATCTACTGGAGAACACTTCTACTAACATACAGCATACTTCTAATTTCTTTTCATGTTATACTTCTTTTCAATCACTATGCTAGTCTTAGATCAGATTCTACTTCATTTACTTATTTACTGGCATGTACATGTGTAAGCATGCACAGGTCACACTCACAGGTGGAGGTCAGAGGACAATTTGCAGGTGTTGGTTCTCTTCTACCTTCACCTGAGTCCTGGAGATCAAACTCAGATTGTCAGGCTCAGCCGCAAGTGCCTTTTACACCTTACCCTAGTGGTATTCAATCTTTCTAATACTGTGACTTTTTAATAAAGTTCCTCATGTTGTGGTGACCCCTGACTATAAAATTATTTTGTTGCTACTTCATAAGTGCAATTTTGCTACTGTTATGAATCGTAATGTAAGTATCTGTGTTTTCCAATGGTCTTAGGTGACCCCTATGAAAAGGTCACTCAACACCTCACCACAGAAGTCATGACCCACTGGTTAGAACCACTATCTTAAGCCATCTCACCAGTTCTACAACAGGTTCTAGTTCAGTTTTCAGAAATTCTAATTCCACCCTTGAACACAACAATTTCTTTACATTCTCCAATTCTTGACTGAACTACAAGGTACTATAAGAAGGGTTTTCAAAACAGAACAAGTTCAAATAATGACTCACCCACTAGCATCTCAAAAAGGAAAACACCTACAGACCACCAATCACATTCTCGCCCATAGTAGCCATCACCTCCTTGTGACTTCAGAACCTCAGGTGATATGTAATCAGGAGTTCCAACTGCTGTATCACAATGCACCATGCCTGTCTGGGTAAAGAGCAGAATTTAAAAAAAAAAAAAAAAAAAAAAAAAACAAAGGCAAACATGCGGGATGAGCATACACTGACTTCCAATAGAATGCCACTGACATGGTTTCAGGACTCAGGAGGTATATACAGCAACCACCAAATGCAGAGAAATGTCTGTATCAGGGAGACCAGGGATAAATTTCATCCATGGAAAAAGGTGATGTCAGTGGGCTACCAAACTACAGAAACTGACAATTTTTAAGTTGTTTATTTCTTACATTATAAAGTAAGAGGATACAAAATGAGATCTTAATGATACAACATGGGGAAAATAAATGACTCACTAGAAAAAAAAGCAGCTTTGCTGCTTTGGAAAGAAACAAAAGCACTTAGATGGCAAAGCAACTCTCAGCTTGGATATGGGATTAAGAAATGGTCCAAAGTTTAGCAAGAACAGACTGAGGAAATGTAGTAAGCATTTAAACTAAAATGTGTCAAAACTATAAGGTTTGACACTTCTTGGTTTTACATTTTTCTAATATAAAGCTATATCATCAACATATTTGGCAAAGTGATTCAATACCTTCAACCTGTGTTTGGTTTTGCTGGATAGTAAAATACTTTTGTGAATACCTTCTTAGAGTCTGTGTATGTACAATGTGTTCAGGAATGTGTGCATGCGTGCCTGTATGCATGTAAATCATAGGTCAATACTGACTACGTTCCTCTCTCACTCTTCCCCTTATTTTCTGAGACAGTGTCTCTCACGAAACCTTGAGCTCAGTAACTGGCCAGACTAGCTAGCCAGCACAGCCCAGGGATCCTCTGCCTCTCCAGTACTGGGGTTATAGGTATGTACCACCATGTTTGGTCTTTTGTGGGAGATCAGATCCTCAAGCTTGATGGGTATCTTATCCACTGAAGTTGTCTTTTTGGCAAAGATAAAAATCATCCATCACAGGCTGGAGAGATGGTTCAGTGGTTAAGAATACTTAATTCTTCTTCCAGAGATCCTGATTTCAATTCCCAGCAATCACATTGTGGCTCACAATCACCTATAATGGGATCTGATTGCCTCTTTTGGTGTCCATGAAGACAGAGCACTCATATACATAAAACACATAAATAAATAAATTAATTAATTAATACATACAGAAAGAATCATCCATCACAGAAGACAGAAAGAAGAAGGGAGAAGAGCAAGAGAAAGTGAGCACGTGTATGTGCACACAAAGGCATCACAGTGTTTGCTGTTAACTGAAATTATTCTAGCAGTGTAAAGCTCCTTCACCCCAAGTTCTGTCCAATTTGTCAAGATTTTAATACATTAATTCTTCTCTTTCTCTACCTGCTAATGGTGCATCCCACATTTCTCACAAGAAAACTATAGAAATACTAACGTGTTAAGTAACTATTAGGGCTAAGGACACAGCTTGTTGCTGAAAGTGTCTGCCTAGTATGCATAGTCCTAGGTTCACTCTCCATAACTATTCCCTACCTCCACAACCAACAACAAATAGCTCTAAATAACATGACCTCTTTGGAAAGGAAAGTTCAATGTATTTTGTGGACTTGATTTGTACAAATGTTTAAATGCTATAAAGCATACCAAACAAGAGAAATTAATTTCAAAAATAGTAATTACATATCCTTAATTTAGCAGAATAAGTGGAATGTTATTTTTCCAAATACAGCAAACGAGGTACAGAACTCATTATATGAATTAATAATTTCTATGAAGCTTGAAAAGATAATGTAGAAATACTTAGTGAGGATTTCTACATAGAATAAAATAAGACAGTGACATTAACAAGAAGTTTTGAGAAAACCTATTTTAGGAAGACATCTTCAATCCAAAATGCAATATTAACAAATTTATTTATACAGTAGCGGGACCAGTAATTATGAAACAATTTTAAATGTACACTAGAGTTAAACAAGTAAAAACAAATCTATAACTAGCTAATTAGAGCCAGAGGGATTTTGTTTATTTGTTTTGTTTTTAACTGTTAGGAAATTACAAAAAGAAAAGAGGAAGATTAGACTGAGTCCTGTGTTGTTCAACTTATACCAGATATATCAATGTTAAATAGTGGCAGTTGATATACTATCTATAGAGACAGAGACTCAAATGAAAACACGTGGGCATGTGGCTTAATACTTGGTGTGTATAACCCATGCCTCCTAGCTCTACGCACCAACTGAGCCTGAAAGTCGTGACACTTTGGGAGCAATGAGCACATCTAGCTCCCATAGAGATGACTGCTAAATACCGTTCTCCAATAAAAGGAATCAAAAGCTTCTTGGTTCTAGGGCTAAGGAAAAAAAAACACTAGACAATTTTATAATATTCTACAGTGTCAAAATCAAGGCCAATACAGTAAAGGGAGATGTGCTGAGAGGATATGGAGCGACCTAAGGAGCCTTCACAAAGTAGCAAACTTTGAGCCAGGTTTTCACGTGTGAATAAAAAAAAAAAAATGGCCTCCACCCAGCATCTATAAAGCATAAGAATCATTAAGTAACACATTATGGAAGACTTGTATAATAAATCACAGCTTTGGAGCTCCAAGGCATTGTCACATGACAGCACAGAGAGCCATATCTTAAGAGGCTTTGTAGCACCGCCTATGAAGCTTGACCTTTCATCAACCTGCTGCATCTACTGAAGTAGTCTGAGCTAGAGAACAAAATAGCCAGGCAATCGTTTTCAAAAGGTTACTCAAAATTACTTGGATTGGGGGCTGGGAAAGTGGGTAAAAGTGCTTGTTGTAAAGAGCAAGGACCTGAATTTGGATTCCTAGCAACCAAGTAAAAAAAGCCAGGTGTGGCAGTACATGCCTGAAACTCCAGGCTGAAGAAGGAAGGTGCAATGGTGGAGAGAGGCAGACCCCAGGGATTTACTAGCCGGCCAGTCTTGCCAAAAAGAGTGTGCTCAAGATACAGCGAGAGACTATGCTTTAAAAAACAAAACAAAAAAACATGCAGGGCAAGGGAGATGGCTCAGTGAGTAGGAGTACTTGTAGAGCAAGCATAATGGCCTGAGTTCAAATCCTTAACACTCACAAAAAAGGCCAGGCATGACTGTATGTATGTTTGTAATCTCTGAACTGGGGGTGGTGTGTGTGTTTGAGTGTGCATGCACGCACATGCATATGAAGGTGCTGGCCAGCCTAACTGAAATTGGTTTTCAGTTCAGTGAGAAACCCTGTCTCAAGGTAATAAGGTAAGGAGTGATAGAAGACACCTGACCTCCTCCACTGGGTTCCTCATGGATGTGCACAGGTATACACACATGTATGGATGTACACACACACAATCTAAATAAAATAAAATGGTGGAGAGAGACAGAAGACACCTAACATACCTCCAGTTTCCACACATGCACTCATAGCCAAGCGTACCTGAACACACATGCATTTGCCACAAATAAACCCAAAAATTTCTTTGAATGTATTAAATGTTTTCTAAATATATTTGATGATTTGTCATTGGCAAAATATAGTCAGAGAGTTTACTGAAAACTCAAAAATTGATCAATCATAAGTCTTCAGGTTGGTCTTACAAACAATTCAAAATGCCTCCTATGAAGATAAAAAAGAAAAATTTAAATGAAAACTCTTAATTTTTAAAAGTATTAAAGGCCCTGGACTGACTTAAGTAGGCATCAGGCCTTCCAGTCCATTTTTGAGGACTAGAACTGAGTACCGTGTCCCTGCAAAGGTACACCTACCTCTTCCTGAGGTCCTCAGCCAGCACAGCACAGGTGTTATCTGTCCTTGTGTTCCAACTAAACAGTCCAAGTGTTCAGACACACACTTTCACCTGCCCATAGCTGCATAAACCTGTCTAGTCGGATTCCCTTAGTTAGTCCCTTGGATACTAATTATTTTTATTTAATTACAAAGTTTCTTTTGTTGTCCCCTTTATTATTGATTGACTGATAAACTGGAGAGGATACACACAAGCATACAACTTGCAGGAGTTGGTTTTGTCCTTTCGCTAAATCCCAAGAAGGGACTTGGTGGCAAATGTCTTTACCCACTAAGCTATGTACTTTCTGAACGATATACTGGCATTGCTCCTATGCAGCAAGTATTGCCATTTTCATTTTTTAATGTACAATGGAGGAAAATAGAATTTTTCAGAAATAAACACAAGAAGAATCATCAGATATTAGAAACTGAGGTCATGGGCTAGTGAGATGGCTCAGCAGTTACAGAGCTCTTCCAGATGGTTCAATTCCCAGCACCTACCATGGTGGCTCACAACGACCTGTAAGTCCAGTTCCAGAAGTTCCAATGCCTTCTCTAGCCTCTGTAGGCACCACGCTTTCTCTGACATGGAAGAGAAAGCAAGGATCATTGAAAACTGATTTCTATATTGCTGATAAACTATAAAAACTTGAAGGGGTGCATACTCTCTATCAATTTATCTTCTTCCTTAAACATCTCTGGCACACGTAAAAATCATTCTTTTTCATGAGACCACAAAGCCAGAGACTAGATTTGGCTACTGAGCTCTGGTCTGCTTCTGGTGTAGTGGCAATAATAAAGGAAAGGCAAACATTGACAGAACTCAAACTTGTAACACCATTGTTTCATCAAACAATTACTAGAAAATTAAGAGTTCTATGTAATTTAAAAAAAAAAAAAAAAAGATCAGTGTCTATGGAAACTTCAAGTGTTTGTGTGCATGTGTTGTTGGTGGTGAGTATTCTGGAAGGTCACAAAAACCATACCAAAAGTGAAATTCAGTTTCCTGAAAGCATAGATTACAGAGTACTTATTATTTATAAGCCATCTTCTCCATAGGAATTAACAGTACAGACAGAGAAGGACAAATATAAAATCAAATAATCAAAACAAACCAATATCATAATTAGCCATGAAGTTAATGTTCCTGAACCAACTAATCATAAAGTGTCTGACAGCAAAATATTATATTAAATGATGACTCCGTATTTACCCTATGATACCAAAGTGGTAGATGGGAAGCAGTGAATGATTTCTTTTCTTATTTTATATCATCTCCTTTCTTTTTTTAAAAAATTTATTTATTTATTTATTTGTATTTTATATACATTGGTGTTTTGCCAGCATGTATGTCTGTGTGAGGTTGTAGGATTCCCTGGAACAGGAGTTACAGACAGTTTTGAGCTGCCATGTTGATGCTGGGAATTGAAGCCGGGTCCTCTGAAAGAACAGTCAGTGCTCTTAAAAGCTGGGCCATCTCTCCAGCTTCCACCTCCTTTCTTAAAAGGGGACAAAAAAATCATAACAAAATGAAAAACCAACCAAACAAACAAGAAACCAACAGAAATAATAATGGTAGTACAAATACTCCTGAACTTGGAACTTACAGTTTTGTGGCCCAATTCTACACACCTAAACTAGTATTAACTAGCTCTAATCATCAACACTCTATGAAGAAGATAAATGAACTGAGCACTGATTTTCTCTTGCAACAAGAAAGCCACTAATAAAATATTTTACACCTAGATGAATGATTAGTAAAGGAAATATTCTAAATTATTTTGTCTTGGCATTCTTATACCCTTATCAAACTAAATTCATTTTTACTCAAAAATGAAAAAGTCCTGATTTGCATTTTTTTATTAACACACACACACATACACTCACACAAAGCCTAGCAAGAGAAGATAAAGGTGATTGCTGTACAAGCCTGGTGAACTGAGCACGTCTCCAGAACCCATATAATGGCAGAAAGAGACAAGTGACTCCATAGAGTTGTCTTCTGACCTCCACATGCACTCCATTGCATGCACATGTTCTCTCTCTCTCTTTTCTTTCTCTCTCTCTCTCTCCCTCCCTCTCATACACAAAAACACAATATGGACAAATTTTTTAATAGCATTTTTTTACTGGCCTACTTACTTCATCCATTTTCATACACGTGCCAAAATCTGCTAATTTTAGGTGTCCATGTTTATCCAAGAGCATGTTATCAGGCTTCACGTCTCTGTGTATTAAGCCCATGGAGTGTATTGCATCCAGTGCAAGCACTACCTCAGCAGTGTAAAACTTGGCCCATTTTTCAGGCACATCATAATTACTCATAAGGTTCACAAGGTCTCCACCTGGCATGTACTCCATCACCATGTACAGGTACCTGTCATCTTGAAAGGCACAAAAGAGCTGGAAAAGGGGGAGAACAAAATTATACTAAAAACAGAGACATGAACAAAACAAAACCCCAAAATTATTATTACTAGTGAAAAAACAGACTACAACTAAAACAGTTAAAATTTATGAAATCCTTTACTTCTGAGTCAGGACTGTTTAATGAGAAAACAGCAGACAATTTTACATGGCATACTATAAAATATATATATATATAAATAAATGTTTTTCTCTCATGGAAAACACAATGTAGGAAACTAAATTTAAAAAAATTAAAGACATAATAAAAACAAAGAAGAGAATAGCTCTCTGAAAACTAAACAAACTATTGCTCATACCTTACACAGAAGGAAGGTGGAGGTAGGAGCACCTTAGAAACATCTAACAGATACCAATTCAACAGACAGAAACAAAACCCATTTCGATGAAAAAGTACTCAGTAGCCACACTTGGAAGAGAACTAACTCCTCTTTCCTCCTCTCCATCTTCTTATACAGGATAAGCAGCAAACAGCATTGTCACCTACTCCCAGACCCCAGAAAGACAGAGTATCCCAAGACAAGGTATCTGTATAAACCACCAAACAACACAGGGACCCTCAACCCCACCACAAAAGCAGCACCCAGAGACTATTTCAATAATAAAAAGATCTCTTCTTTCTCAGTAGGAATCCACTCAGTAGGATCAAAGATCAAAAGACACCAATATATGGAATGGTTAACTAGAAATCACCAATGAGTGATTTAAAGCTAAAACTGGGATACTTTAGTGCTATCCTCTTTTTTCTTCTTTTTGAGACAAGATTTCCTTATGTAGATAAAGCAGAATTCAGAAAGAATCCCCTTGTGCAGTCTTCTAAGTGCTGGGATTACAGCTGTATCCACAATGCCAGCATTATCATTCATTATTATTATTATTATTATTATTATTATTATTATTATTATTCCTTATTTAAGCAAATTATCAAGGCCCATAAACGGCACTCCCCTTGCACAAACAGTTCGATTTATACAAATCTAAATTTCTAAACAATGGCTACAATTAACCAAATAAAAACAGGAGATTTAAGGCTCATTTTCATTTTTAATTTTATTTTATATATTTGGGTGTTTTGCCTGCATGTATGTAAGTGCTACATGTGTGTGACTGGTGTCTGCTGGAGTTACAGATGTAGGCTGCTATGTAAGTATGTAGGTGCTGGTCAAACCTGGGTCCTCTGAAAGATCAGCCTGGCTCTTAACTGATGAATATCTCTACAACCCCCCTCAACATGATTTTTTTAAAGCTGTACTAATAACCTTTTAAATGACACATGGGGAAAATAAATAAATAAATACCACCAACAACAACAACAACAAAACACACACACAAACCCTCCACACCGCCTCTTTCAAGCAAGTACAAAACACACACACCTTGCTTACTTAAGCATGTTAGAGCACACACTAGTATGTGATTACCTCATCACAAAATGTCTATAGATTTTAAATACCATGTAGAGAAGCAAGGATACTGATGCACATTAACAGAAAAAGAAGCAATATGTCAATCAATTCTTTAATTCACGGTTAGTTATAAGGCAGAATCAGGAGCACTGAGAACATCATATATTACAGAAAATATATAAAGGACTGTCAAATTTTTAAGATGCTTACTTTAGAAAGCTTTTCCTGCCATTAAAGATAGGCTGAGAAGCTGGGTGTGGTGGCGTATGCCTTTAGTCCCAGCACTCTGGGAAGCAGGGGCTTGTGGATCTATGAGTTCAAGGCCAGCCTGATCTATACAGAGAATCCATGACAGTCAAGGCTACACAGTCTCAAAAAAAAAAAAAAAAAGAGAGAGAGAGAGAGAGGCTGAGGATATCACATGAGGTCTACCTTAACTCAGTATGTACAAATCCATCCAATGAAGGAATTAATTCAGAGTGGCATACTGGTTGATCAGGCCAAATCTTCATATAATTAAGAAGGAAATAGTTTCCAGTAATAATTTTTTTATAACCAACCTAAGTAATCATTGCATGCCATGTCTATATGACATTCCACCAAGGAACATTAAACAAGCATCCTGAATCAGGTCTAATAAAAAATAATTGCATTTTTACTATGCGAACAAAGCACATAACATTCAGCACACAAAACACTCTTCTGAATGGGCACTTTAACCGAATAAACTTATAAAAGTTGGCATGCTTACCTGAACCACCCAGGGACTATTGGCAAAGGCCATAATATCTCTTTCTTCCCAGAAAAAAGCAGAATCTGATCTTTTTATCATTTCAAACTTACTAAGAAGCTTCATTGCATAAACCTTCTGGGATGCCTTATGACGAACCTATGAGTTAAAAAAAGAAGCAAAAATGAGCAATACTTTAATTGCTTAAGGAGACTGGTAGTGCCAGATGCTACTGATGACTAGCTGCAAAGCAAACTGACCCTTTGCCAAATAAATGCACGAAGGTCCTGTCTCGACGTAAGTCCCCAAAGCAGAAGTATAATATTTACGAGGAAGAACATACATAAGGCCCAAATAGTTCAGAAAATCCTTTTTATTCTAGTCGAATAAGCAACTATCTCTTTCAACTAGATAAATTCCCTCAGATTAATTAAGCTAACTATTTTTTAACAGGCAATTTAAAAAAATGTTTACTGAAGGGCAAAAACATTTCTTTTAGTCTGAAATCAGTGTGTATGTATATGTGGGGGGATGTGTGTACACATCACTCACTATCTTAACATTAAGAGTCTAATAGATTAGTTTTTAAGGAATAACCTGACTTTTTTTAAAAACTCATTCTCATTATTCTAAGTATTTATTTAAAAGATTAATGTCCAAAAAAAAAAAAAAAACAACCAAAATATGGTTATTTGATCAATTCCTGTTTTGCTTAATAGACTACAAATTTCTTCAGATTAAGAATAAGGTCTATTCATAACCACTTAATTCCTAAAACATAGCACAATATCACAAAGCCAAGAAATATAGAGTCTAAGCTATAACAGCTAACACATTCTAGATAATAATAAATAACAACTGGTAATTCATATAAAACTGAAACATCCAAGCTGTATTCCTGAATTCCTACTGTAGTTCCTAAGCTGGTAAATGGCTATTCCATTAGTGAAGCTGATCAGGCTAAAAATTCCTTTGCTAGAGACTCATGCAGCTCTAGATTTAATTTGTTTTTAATCCAGCCATGTCTAGCTGCTCCCATTGTTGCCAACAAGGTCCGACATTTTTTACTCCAATTGCCAGCAAAATCTCAACTAGTTTTCCTCTTTTACATCTGTTCAGTCTATTGAGCCATGTAACAAACCAATTCTAGTCACTCCTCAGCTTGTCTCCATTGCATGTGCTATTCTCTGTGGAAAGTCCTCTCTCCTGAGTTCAGTTTCTAACTCCTTCAGACCCCAGTTTAAACACTGCCTTCTCAGAACACCTATTCTAATCAAGGAACTTTACCTTTAACCCACTGTCTCCCCTCTCCTGCCAGCATGTCTCCAATTCATTCTCTCTTCCTTGCTTTTGCTCTGTTTCACTTACTAATCTTACATCTTTTAAGAACCACAACTTGCTCTTTCTCTCTTGCTCTCTCTCTCCCTCTTTCTCTCTTCCACCTCGCCTCTCTGCGACCCTCTTCCCTCTTCCCCTAATAAACCTCCCACGTGGAACGGATTAAAAAAAAAAAAAAAAAAGAGTCACAACTTATTTGTCCTATCTCTTACCACCAGAATTTAATCCAAAGATAAAGATTTGTGGCTATTACAGAGTATGTGCCAAGCACTACTGTGTTTTGAATCATTACCTTAATCTAAGTAGTCCCAGTGAGGGATCCTTTCTACCTGTCAGAATGGTAAATATAAGGTACAGAGAATTCAATCTGCCTGAATACTATAAAGATGACAAGCTGAGACTGGCATGTTCTCTGCATCCAGAGTCTACACTGTTTAAATACCTGTAAACCCAAAGTTAGCATAACCTACCTCAAACAGAGCCAGATTCATGCCAACCCAATACCCCAGCCCACCAGCAGTTCTCTCCTTCTGGGAAGCTTACTGGCATTTGGAGGAAGAAGCTAAAAAAAGATTAAGTTCCTGACCACAGTGCCTAAAGTCTTGACTAAACTAGAGCCATCTTCCCAATTTAAATCTGTCCTTTTGTTCATGTTCCTACTTTAAGCACAATTGTCTTCTTTTAGTCCCTCTAAGAATGAACCTTTCTTCTTTATATATTTTTCATTAGAAATCCCATCACAGTCCGTGACTGCACCTCTCATCCAAGGACACTAGCTCCTTTCAACTCAGCCTCTTCAAAGAGGCTTTCTCTGACTAGCCAATCAAACTAAGATCCTTGCTTGGAACCGGTAATAAACATTTTCTTAGAAACTATAAAGACGCCATGGGTGGTGGCACACATCTGTAATCTCAGCACTTGGGGCGTAGAGGCAGACATATCTCTGAGTCTGAGGCCAGCCTGAGCTACAACAAAGAGTCCAAGATAGCCAAGGCTACACAGAGAAACCCTGTCTAGAAAAACCTAAAAACCAAAAACAGAACAAAAAAAAAAAAGAGGAAAGAAAGAAAGAAAGAAAAAAGAATCTCAGCATTCCCATTCCCTCACAACTCCAGTTGCTTTCTTTCTACAATCTATAATTATTTTGGATGTTTGTTACTTACAGGGGTTCCCCAGAGGACAGTGTAATAAACTCAGTAAGACAGATATTGTTCAGACCTGTTTTGTCCTCTACTAATCCCCAGTGACAAGTTCAAAACTGGTAGAAATAAAACACACACTCAAAAGATATCTGATAAATGAATATCTAAAAAACATTTTTCTGTGATTAACCAACTATGAATTTGAGAGGATTTTTTTAGTCAAGGTCTCACGATATAGTCCTGGCTGGCCGGGTACCTGCTACATAGACCAGGCTAATCTTGTCCATAGAGTCTCTGCCTCTAATCGTGAAAGTGGAGATCTGACTGCCTCTGGAGTGCTGGGATTAAAGGTGTGTGTCACCACATTTGCCAGCAGAATTTTTTAAGGAAGAATAAATAGTAATATTCTAGTTACCTCTTGTCAAATACTACCTACATCTAGAATCATACTTTTATTGATTAAAAATAAGGTAAGTCAAAGGAATGCTATCTTTCCCAGAAGAAACAAGAAAGAAAACAGCATAATTTGCAAATCCAATGCTATATAAAAATAATATAAAAAAAATCATAAAAAAAATATTCCCTTTAATACAGAAAGTCTCCTAACAAAACCAAGTAATTTTATTTGAGTGGACTTTTAACAAGTCTATTACAGAAAATAGACAATCCCTAGCACAATCAATACAAATATTCATCACTCAGCATCATACCCTTCTGGTTATGATGGAGTAACAGGAACCAGCTAGCCCTCCACTGTAAACCACCAGCAAATAGTATGCACACTTGTAATCCCAGCACTCTGTGAGGCAAAGGCAAGTGGATCTCTGTGAGTTCGAGGACAGGCTGGTCTACAAAGTGAGTCCAGGACAGCCAAGGCTACACAGGGAAACCCTGTCTCCGGGGAAAAAAAAAAAGAAAGAAAGAGAGAGAGAGAGAGAGAGAGAGAGGGAGGGAGGGAGGGAGGGAGGAAGGAAGGAAGGAAGGAGGGAGGAAAGAAGGAAGGAAGGAAGGAAGGAAGGAAGGAAGGAAGGAAGGAAGGAAGGAGAAAGAAAGAAAGAAAGAAAGAAAGAAAGAAAGAAAGAAAGAAAGAAAGAAAGAAAGAAAGAAAGAAAGAAAGAAGGAAAGAAAGAAAGAAAGAAGGAAAGAAGGATAGAAAGAACAAACAAACAAACAAGGCTAAAGCAACAGTTTCCATTGAGGCTTTGCAAAATGAGAAGCACATGACTAACTCATCAAGTCAACCCTATAATGGCCCAGAACAGCTTTAAAACAATATCCCAATTGATGTACAGCAAGAATTTCCTAAGCAGAGCACAGTGATTCTGCTGAGTTGGGGGGGTGAGGGTGGGAACAAAATTAGAATCTCAAAGAAATGGAGTAGCTGGGTCTGCTACTGGCTATTTTTCTCACGGGAGAGAAAACATCCCAGGTTTACTAGCACATCTACAACAGGTTTGATAGCAGGACAGAAACACTGAAGCAGACTGAAAAATACCTTGCATATTTCCTAGGTATGCACTTGGCAGGACAAACTATGCTCTGGGCATGCAGCTTTACAGGTCAAATTATGTTCTAGTGGTTTTCAATCTTCCCAATGCTATATGACCCTTCAATATAGTTCCTCATGTTGTGGTGACCCCCAAGTATAAAATTATCTTGTTGCTACTTCCTAACGGTAATTTTGCTACTGTTATGAATCGTAATGTAAATACCTGATATGCAGGTTATCTGTGAAAGGAGTGTTTAACCCCCACAGGGGTCACAACCCATAGGTTGAAAACCACCGTTCTAAACTAAGGCCTACTCTACTACTACCTAACAAAACCTAACAGTAAATGTAAATATCAAAAAGGAACAACAGTTCAACTAGAGGCTAAGTCCTGTCAAGGTAAAAGGACTTGATATCTATCACTACCTTGCTCTGTCAACACATCTACTCTGACAAAGCATAAAACTGAGCCTGTACAAATTAAGGATGACCAATCAGGAAGTCACTGAACAGACTATCAGAATAAAAACAGTCTTCAAAGACATTAACAAACCTCAACTCTCTACACCATAGCCACAAGATCTAGCAAATACTTTAAACCTTACTAAAGAGAAAAAAAGGAAAGCATAACTTATCATTAAGAAACAGGCAGTCAATAGAAAAGGTTAGGTTTGGCTTAATCTTTCTTACAATTAAGAAAAAAAAAAAAAGTAAAAAAAACAGCTCTTAGAAATAGGCTTAGGTAAAAGAACACAGGTAAGCCAGGCATGGTAGCACACACCTAGAATCTTAGCACTCAGGGACGCAGAGGCAGGCAGATGGCTCTGAGTTCGAGGAAAGCCTAATCTACAAAGCATACCCAAGACAGCCAAGCTACAAAGAAAAACTCTGCCTTGAGGGGGAGGAAAAAAACCACACATGTAATAGAAATAATAAAAATCAATTAAAAATCTGTAACTGAAAAATATGGTAACATATGAAAACTTCAGAAGAGCTTAATAGACCATTGATTAAAAAGTGAGAAGTTCAGTGAATCTGAGCACAAATAATTTTGAAAAATAAAGATGAAAATGATAGATTCAGGGGCATCCAAGATAATTTTAAGCTGTTTAAAATATGTGCAAATATAATAGAGTAAATATACCCACTAATGAATTACCAAACAATTAAAAAGCAAAATATAAACTTAT